ACGAATACAACAATATTTATCTCCACATCTTGGACATGAATATTTAGAAATTAATCCACAAATAGAACAAAAAGATCTTGAAGGAAGTTTATTTGAACCCATTTTTATATTGCAAAAATTAGGGAAAATCTTTTTATTCTCTAAATCTTCTTCTTTAATAAGTTTTTTTAAGTTAAAATTTTTTCTTAAATGTGTTTCTTTTTTCATTCTTTTATTTATTTTTCTCTTCAATTTTTTCTTTTTTTTTTCGTTAGCATTTTTATCGTCTTCTAGTATTAACTCGAAATCTTCATTATCACTATCTTCTACTAATCGATTAGGAGAATCATAAAAATCACTTTCTAATTCGTCAATTTTTGTATTTTATACATATTTTCGCATTTCACTATCTACATTTTTTAAAGTTTAATTTATTTTTCTTTGCCTTTATGACTGTCTTGTTTTTGAACTCATATTTTATTTTAATTGTTTTTTGAATATTTTTTTTAAAGTATAAAATATAATATAAGAATATTTTATAAATATTTATAAAAATATCTTTAAAAAATTAAAATATGTAATAAATAGAAATATTTAATTTTTTATTTTTATATTCAATTTCTTATTAATTTTTAAAGCTGACTATTTTTATTTTTTACAACAGTTAAAAGTAATTTTGCTGATTCTTAAATTTTTATATATGCTTTATCTAATTCGGAAATATTTTCTTCATAATTTTCATATATTTATTATTTTTTTGATAAGCTTTTATTAAGTTATTTTAATCTTTACTAAAGAATTGTAATATCTTAAATTATTCCTTCTTTCTCTTCATATTTATTTGAAATTAATTAATTTAGATTTTCTTACTTATTTTTCAAATTATGTAAAATATTATTAAGCTAAATGCTATCATCCTCTAATCCTTAACTTTAAAACAAACTTTAATTATCAAATTATTATTTTTGTAAATATTACTTATTTTATGAATTCTGATAATCGCTTTAAGTATAATTATAATCTGAATTCATTTTTTTAAATGCTTATAAAAATTTAGAAAAAAATGAAAAATAATATTTAAAAAAATTTAAAATATAATTAAATGATAATAAATTAAATAAATTTTATGTAATCACAAAAATAATATAAAAATTTAAATTTATATAATAATTAATATAAAATATTATTTATATAATATAATTTATATATAATTTCTAAAATTTAAAGAAATTTTTATATAATATTAAATATAAAATATATAAAAATTATATATATAAAATATATATATATATATATATATATATATATCATTATAAGCATATTTTTAAGTATATTTTTAAGTATATATTTTATATATCTATATTATATTTACAATTATTTTTATTATAAATTAATAATATTTTAAATTTTATAGACTATAAAATAATATCAATTTGTTATTTTTTATTTTCGATATATATACATTTATATATATATTCATTTACAAATAAATTTTTGCAATTAAAAATATTATAAAAAAAATTATAATTTAAAAATAAAAATGAATTAACAAAATAGCTTTTTATTTAAAGTATTAATTCTAGGTGATTAAGCAGTCGGTAAATCATGTCTTTTACTTTAATATTGTGATAAAAATTTTGTATTAACTCATATGCCTACAATTGGTATATATATTTAAATAAATTAAATAAAAAATATATAATTAGGAATTGATTTTAAGCAAAAATCACTTTAAATCTAAGACAAAGTAATTAAACTTTAATTATGGGATACTGCAGGATAAGAAAGATTTAAAACAATTACTAATACTCTATATAACGGTGTAATGGGAATCGCATTAGTTTATTCCGTTGAAAATAGAAAAGCTTTTGAAAATATATCTTCTTGGATGAAGTTTTTTTATTATATTTATATTTTTATTAATTTAAATACGTTTTAGATAAATAAAAGATAATGTTGGTGACGCTGTTTAGATAATTCTTATCGCTAATAAATCAGACATTCAAGATAAAGTTATATAAGGAAGTGAGGGATAAAGACTTGCAGATGAGTTTAAAATTTCATTTTTTTAAACTAGTGCAAAAACTGGAGAAAATGTAGAAAAAGCATTTGATCATTTAGCAATGAAAATATTGTAGAATGTTAAAAATAATAATTAATTATAATCTTTATAACAATAAGGATAAGGTGTAAAAATTAAAACTAACGATTAAAAAGAACATAATAAAAAAAAAAAATGTGGTTGTAGTTGAGAATAAGAATAAAAAGAAAATAAAATATATTTATTTTTTATGTAAAAAAATAAAAAAAATTAAATAATAAATAATTATAAAATAAATTAAATTAAATATAGGCATTTATAAAAAATTTTATTTTTATAAATAATTTATTTATTTTTATTTTTTCTCATATATTATTGATAACTGTTATTTTTTTAATTCTTAAATTCTTTTATTTACAATTTTCTTATATATAATTTTTTTATAGAAACATTTAAATTATTTTTTAATAAATTTTCGTTGGATTTTTAATTATATTTTTTTTCTACAATTCTTTTCAATATATCTCTAAATTTTTGTTATATTTTTTTTATTTCTATTAGAAATGCTATAAGTTGTTTGATTTATCTTTATCTTTCACAACTTTAATTTTTTTTAATGTTAATTTTTATTTTATTTAAATAATTTAAGTAGATTAACACTAACTTATATTTTATTTTTTGCTTATAATGTTTGAAAAATATTTATTATTTCAAAAAATACATAAATTTAAAGGGAATTAATATTTGATTATTTTGTTTATTTATTTTTATTTTGTTTTCTTTTAGTAAATCTCATAATATTTTTTTATTGAAACAATTTTTTTATGAATTATACTCCTTTTTCTCATTATTATTACTTAGTATTTCAATTTCAAAAAGTTATTTTCTTATCTAAATTCTCCACATTTATTTTTCTTATGCAAATTCGCCATTTATAATACATAAATCATATCTTTTTTATTTTTGTCACTTTTCTACTTTTAAATATTTTTTAACATTAAATTAACTTTTTTAAAGGAACGGAAATTTACAATAAGTGAATTTTTAATATTTTTTAAAAATTTTGATAGTTTCTTATTTTTGCAATAAATTACTATAATTTTAATTTGTAAGATTTTTAATATTATTAATATCAGTATTTATTTATATTTAGTTATTTACAAGTGCTAAATATTTTTCTTATTTAAAAAATATATCTTTTAAAATATTTTAAATTTGGTTTATTTTTTAATTGTTTCTATTAATATTTTTTATTACACACTTGTTTATATTTATTATTTCTTTAATAATTATATTTTTTTGTAAAATCTCATTTAATTTTATGCATTTTTTTAGTGCTAATTTACTTAAACTTTTGCTTTTTTTGTTTATTTTTAACTCTTTTTTATTTGAACCTAAGCTTGGTTCATTATTTCATACCATATTGTTTAGTTTTTTATTTTTTTAATTATTTATTTTTTGGTTTTTACTATGATTATTATAATAATCAAATTTACTTATATTTTTTAAAGACTGTAACGTTTATATTTTCATATAAAGAAAAGTATGAATTATTGGATTTTTATTCCATTATATATAAATATAAAATTATATATATTTTTCATAGGAATTTTTTTTTTTTTTTTATTAAAAAAATATATAATCAATAAATAAAATGACATATAATAATAGTTATTTATTTTCTTCATTTGTTATCAGGTTTAATTTTATTTTTTTAAATTAATATAGATAGATTTAGAGCTTTTATTATGCTTGGTGTCTAGTTTTAATTAAAAACTGATGTACTATTAATGACAGAATATTAATATTTTTTTAATTATAAATTTTCTTATTTAAGTTATTCTTTTTCTTTTTCTAAATTAATAAAACTATAAACTAATATTTTATGTTTTTTTCTTAATTTATTATATTTAGTAAATTTTTCATTTTAATTATAGAATTATTCTAAGTTAACTTATTTTTTTATGTATTATCATTTATAGTAGTATTCATTTTATTTTTATTTTTATTTTTATTTTCTTCTTCTTGCTTTTATTAATTAATTTATTATTACATTTTTATTGTTTCGTTATTTAAATTTGTAATATTATTAAAATAATCTTTTTCATCAACTTTAAAATTTTGTAGTTCCTATTATAATTATTAAACTAAATCAGCTTTTTTTAAAACATATATACATATTAAAATATATATATATATACATATATTATTACCTTCAGTTTCTGTTATTTAGTTTAAAAAAAGATAACTATCTTTAGAATTTCTATCAATATTATTAAAACTTTAATTAGAATTTCTTTAAAAAATATCAAAAAAACCGTTTTGAATATTAGAATAACTTTTTTTCAATTTACCTTTTTAGGATAACATATGCAATTCATTATATTTTAAATTACTTTGACTTTTCCTTTAACTTCTTTGTGTAAAATTCATTTTTTTTTGAAATAGTTTTATTATTTGTATATATTTGGACTCATTTCTATATTATATTATTAATTATTTTAAGTTTATGAGATGATATATCGATCTTATAACTATGATAATATTTCAGTATTTAATATATTATATATTTTTTAATGTTGTTTTTCGTTTGAATGATGAAACATGAAAATTTTTATTCTTTGAAAATTTTAAGAAATAAAATATAAAAAATTAATAAGTATTTTTTAATAATATGTTTATTTAAAAAATATTTTTAACTTATTTTATTAAAATAAAAATATCCAATTTTTAATTTATGAAAGAAATAATATTTTTCATTTTAATTAACTATATCAATTCTTATAACTAAAAAAATCTATTTATTCCATCAGTATATTTAGTAGGATAAATATGCTTATAAAAAAATTCTTATTTAAATTATTAATTTGCCTCAAATACAGATTTTATAAATTCATATTAAAACCATTAAATGTATCTTTAATTTAAAAGACCTTTTAATTTTAAGTAATTTATTAATTAATACACAAATTGAAGTATTTAAAAAATAAATATTAAATAGTTAAACAAATAAATATAAAATAATTAAGAAATTAGGATCAGGTTCATTTGCAGAAGTTTTTAAAGGAATAAATAAAAAAAATAATTCAACAGTAGCTATTAAATAATTAAAAGAAGGAGTTAAATGGAATTCATTTAAAAGGGAAGTATTTGTTTTATAGAAGCTCGCAAAGTTAACTCAAATAAATAGATTATATGATATTATTAATGATGTATAAAAAAATTAATATTCACTTGTAAAAATAATTATTATACTTTTATTCTTTTATTGTATTTAATAAATATTAAAAAAAAAAAGGTTTTAGAATATGCTAAAGGAAACGTTTTGAGCAAATAATTAGTTAATTTAACAAAATTTGAAATATAATATTATACTTATTAATTATTTGATGTATTTTATTAGAAAATTAATAATTTTTTAATATATAATATTTTAAAAATAAAAAAATATAAAGATAATTAATAAATCTCATAAATTAAATATTATTCATAGAGATATAAAAACTGAAAATATTATTGTTGATAGTTAAAAAAAAATATTAAGACTTGTAGATTGGGGATAATCATACCCTTATATTCCTAATGAAATGAAAGAAAATATAGTTTATTTTTTATTTAAATATAATTATAATATAATTTTAATAGGCTGGTACATATTTATACAGACCGCCAGAATTAAATTTAAAAGAAGAAAAATATAGGCATCATTTTACATTAGGTATCGATGTATGGTCAATAGGAATTTGCTTTTATAGAATGGTATATATATTTATTTTAATTTAATATACCTAATTTATTTTACAATTTAAAATATTTAGATATTCAATGGTGCTTATCCATTTAAAGGCGATAGTCTTGATACTGTTTTATAATCATAAATGGATTTCTTTTAATATAAAGAATATTTGAAATTATCTGCATTAATGAATGTTAATATAAATGCAACAATTTACTAGGATTATAATTAATAAGAAAGGTAAAAATAAATAAATTTATAATTTGTTATTTTAGATATATATATATAGAACAAATATGTTTGGAATTAAATATATTAAGTAACATTTAGAAGAAGACGAATTTGATTTGTTTAATAGAATATTTTAGTCAAACCCTGTTATTAAATATACCAATAAATTATAAGTTTAATTTTTTTATAAAAAGGCAGCAAGAATAACTGCAGAAGAAGCACTTAAACATAAATATTTTGCTTAAGTAAGAGAATATATTAATGAAAAAAAGAAAATGATTAAATAAAATAATATAAAAAAAGAATGATCATATATATTTATTACGAATTAATTAAAAAATTTGAAAAATATTTTTTTTTATTAATTATATCCTTTTGTAAAATTAATTTTAAGAAATTATATATAATATTTTTTTTTTTTCATATACTATAATAATTTTTTATTCTTTATTTATAAGCATGAAGTAAGAATATGATAATAAGAATTCCTAATCCAAATAAATATTAAAAAATTTTTAAAAAATGTAATTTCTTTGCAATATTTTCCAAAATATCTCTATTACTTAATAAATAGATTTTGATAAAAGCACTACTGAAATAATTATATTTTTCAGTAATATTAAGACTTTTTAGATAATTTAATGATGCTTTAGTAGTATTCTTTTCTACTCCTAGTCCATAATATCTCATGTACCCAACATTAAAATAGCTTTAAGCAAGAGTTAAGCTATCTTCGTCTTTTAATGTTTCTGAAATACTTATAGCTTTTTTATAATATATGTAAGCTTTTTCATAATTTTGTGGTATGTTTTCTCCATAATAATAAAAATCTCCTATTCTCAAACTACTATAAGGATTTTAAACAACAGAAAGTTTATACTATTCAAATGCGATATATTTATTTAAACTATCAGATAATGTTTAATTGAATTTTAAATACTATTAAAGTTTTTATTTATCAATAATTTGAAGATAATCATCAAAAAGAATCTCATATAAGTCTTAATTTATTATATTATTTGATTTTAACTTATTATATATTTCATCTTCTTCTAATTCTTTTTATAAAACATTATAATCAAAATCCATTTCATTTAATATATTATATCTATCAGATAATATTCCTGCATTTAATAGTGCAGTCTTTATATTTATTTTTTATTTAATAAAAAAAAATTACTTATTCTCCTAAATATCCAGATATTAAATATTGCAAAAAAGCTTATCTATAATTTTTTTAATTGTACAGATGATTTCCTTAGTTTATATAATGAGTCAAATTTCCTTTTAAACTGCTTTAGCCCATCATAAGGACTGCAAGCTCACAAGATTAATAAAAATCAACTCCATCTAAATATAATAAGCCTTAAAAATGTTTTTAATTAATATTTTTTAAATTAATTTTGTATAAAACCTAAAACATATTAAGCTTATGGGTGACCTTTCTAAGCTGCTAAATTTAAATATGAATGAGCTATTGTTTTATCTCTATTAAGTTCTTATGTAGAAGGCATCATGTGTAATACACCATAGTTAAATTATCCGCTTGTATCTTTTTAATCAGCAGATAATTTAAAGTTTTTTATAGCAAGCCTAATATTTTTTTAAATATAATATCCATTATAATACATAATTCCTTTTTTTATTAATTTTTAGTAATTTATTTCTAAATATAAAAATACCTAAACCATTATATCCATATCCCTCATTTTCTTATGCTGCTTTTAAATATATATCAAAAGCTTTTTTATAATCCTAATAAATATACATTATTTTTTAAATTTACATAAAACATTACTTAAGGAACACCTAAACTATTTAAATATTAAAAAGCAATCGTTTGTAGTGCCTTTTTTTATGAAATAAAAATATAAAAATTTTATATATAGATGTAAAAAAAATACCTATTAATTATTAGGAGAAATTTTAAGAACTTTTTAATAAAATTCAAAAGATTTTTGGAAATTTTAACGAAACCCATTAATTCCATAATAATAAGATTATGCCAGATTAAGAAGTTCAACTAAATTTTCATTAGAAAATTAACTTTTAACTCTTTAAAAGATTTCTATTTTATCATAATTAAAATTGAAAATTTAATTATTTAAATTAAATATATCATAATCTAATTTTTTTCTTTCTAAATGATAAATATAAGTATTATTTGAAATAAATATCTTTTTATTTATTTCCTTATAATAAAGTGAAGCAGTAGAACAATTCATATTAGTCCCATAACCCTATTTTACTTTTTGTTATATTAATAAAAATAAAATTTATTTACAAATTAATATTTAAATGCTAGAGCTAATTCGGATTCTATATTATCTTATAAAGCTGAATAATATAAATCCACAAAAGATGAAACGTTCTTTTTTTGATTAGTGAATTGATATAAATTCGTATTTTTTTAATTTTCAATATTCTTTAATATATTATAAGTTCCGTCCAGCCTAAAGTTTGCAAAAAGAGAAGTCATAAAAAGGGCCTTTTTAGAACCTAAAGAGGCTGCCAATTTATAATAATAAAAAGCAAGCTTTAGAGACGAATTTTTTTTGTTTAAACCGCAATATATAAAGTTTCCGTATTCAAAAAGTGCCTCTGGAAGATTTTATGTACTGTTTTATGAAATTTTCTTTTCAAAAAAATCCAATAATTTAGAATAAGCCTATTAACTTTCTTAATACATTATATTATCATGAATTTCTTTCAATTAAGACGCCTTAAAAAGTTTCAAAAAGAAGAAAAAATAAATAAATATTCTCATTTTATATAATTATAGTTATTTTATTTTTATAATTATTAAAATAATATTTTATTAATTTATAAATGATATTTATCTTAAATTATTATTTTAATATTAAATCAAAAAACTAATATATAAAAAAAATTAGTTAATTGCTTTATTTTTTCAAAAATATTTTCAATTAATAATTTTATCTTTCAAAATCATTTAAGCTATTTCTTAAGAAACTTTATCAACAGTCTCCATGTCTTTATGTTCTGCATAAATTCTTACAATATCTTCAGTACCTGAAGGCCTAATAAAAGCCCTACTTCCAGGATGTAAAGCAACAATGGCATCTAATTTATCTTACAATTCTTTAGGTTCTAAAACTTTGTCTTCAGGATAAGAAACTTTTATTCTGCTTTTATCTTTAACAACAACTTTAGTATTTTTGCATTTTAAATCATCATACATTCCAATATAATCTTCATGACTAAAGTTAAGAGCTGCCATTGCAGCTTCAATACAAAGCATATTGGTAATAGAATCACCTACACTCTAATATTTTTTATAAATTAAAAAATTATTTTACAATTATTTTATTTTTTAAAAAAAAACTTAATTGCAAATTCTTATATATCTATAAAGTTATTCAGCTTAATACAAACAATCATGAAGAATTTTAGAATTTTCCTCATTTCGAGCTTTGGCCTTTTTTAATTAAAGAATTGCCTAGTGTAATTCTTCGGTTCTTTTTTCCGATACAAGAAATGTTCCATGCCCATTTGATTCGCAATAGATTCCAATATCATTTTTATGCGCATTAGGGTGTAGGTTTTTTACTCCATTAGGTGAAAAAAAACATTTAATCCTAATTTTTCCTTTAAGTAAATAGAAGAAGATCCATTAGCATAAGGTGTTTATACCATTCCAATATTCCAATGCTTTGGTTTTAAGTCTTATATTTTGACATCTCCTGTATTGTTTGCCGCTTCTACTGCTTTTTCAAGGTTATTTAACGCAGTTTTAAAATATAAAGCAAATAAAGATATCATTTTATCACCATCCATTAATCTAATTTATTTTAAATCATTTGTTGGTAAGCTTTATTTTTATTTATATAAAAAAATTATTATATATATATAAAAGTACAAATAAACAATTCTATCAGAATCACCATCATAACTAACACATCTAACATTTTTAAGATCGGGAAAAGTTTTTAATCTTTCCACAAATCCAAGAGGATATTATTATTCTTTGTGAACAAATTCAGCACCGCATCCAACATTTAGTTATTCTTAATTTTTATCATTTAATACATCAAAATTAAAGTATTTCTATATAGCAACTTTGAATGGTCCTATTCTTAAACCACCAACTCCATTTGAAATATCTAAAAGAATATATTCATTATCTTTCTTTTTATATCCTAAACCTTACATAAATTAGTTAAAAAACCCCAATAAACATCAAAATAACTTGATGTAAATTATTCTGCCCAAGATTCTCGAGTTAAATGATGTTAAAAACAATTAAAGTACCATACATTGTGATGTAACATAGGAGTTGTTACTTTACCAACATCTATAAATTAGCAATTAACTGATGTAAGCCCTTTTCTAATTATTAAATTATAAAATAAATAAATGTAATTAAATAAAAATGTAAATATAAATATATAGATTATTTGTATATATGTATATATGTATATATGTATATATGTATATATGTATATATGTATATATGTATATATGTATATATGTATATATGTATATATGTATATATGAATATATGAATATATGTATATTTTTATAATTTTACTCTATTAAAGGAACTAATATTTCATTAGAAGGTCTTGTATCTCTTCCTACAAAAACTAAACCTTTATTATTTAAATTATAGCCTGGTAAATTATGTAGTACTTCAAGAATTTGATTTATAGCTTTATTAATACATGGTTCAACTACAAATTTCTCTAATTCTTTTTCGAGTTAATTTCGAATCATGTTACCGTCAAAATCAGTTATTTTTATTCCATTATCTTATATTGGGTTATGAGATGCAGTAATCATAATACCTTTTTTATTTAATTTAAAAAAATAATTATTTTATTATCAATAAATAAATATTTTATGCCTAAGACTTTATAGTTATCAAGTCTTGCAAAAAGACCTTAGAAAATACCAATCCTTAAACATACCTTTTTTTAAATAATTTTAATAATCTTTTTATTTTATTAATAATTTTTTTACATGTTCTAAATATTTAGCATGATCTCTATATCCAGCTGTACCTATAGTTATATGTTTTTTGAATTAAACTACAAAAGAATCCATATATTTTTAGTAAAGCTCTTTGTCTAATTTTAATATTTCATCAGGAAGAACTACAGACATCTAAATATTTTTTTTATATAATTTCAATAATTTTATTTTATATTATTTTCTAATATTTTATATAACCTATTATTATATTTAAAATTTTTTATAATAACTATATTAATTAATAAATAATTAATTAATCTATTTATTTTTATTATATTTTTTTATTTTTTATATTTTATTATTTTTCTTTATATTATATTTAAAAAAAAAAAATTATTTGATTAAAATTTCTTTTTTTAACAAACTGTTTTAAAATAAATTTTATTATAATTAAAATTATTTAAATATGTTTATTTTATTATTAATTATATTTAACAAATATAAATATTGATTTTTTCTTTATATATTATATTTTTTAATTTAAAATTAATTTAATATATATAGAAATAAATTAAATGATTATTTATAATATAATATCAAATAATCAAAAATTTATTTATAATATATATATATAAATATATATATATATATATATTTTTTTTTTCACATTTATCATTTATTATTTAATTTATTTTTAATTTATATTTTTAAATATTAATTTTCGCATTAATTTAAAAATTTTTATGACACTTTTATGTTTTGAATTTCTTATTTTATTTTTAACAAACAAAAATCTTCTTTTCCAAATATCATTTATTAACTCAAATTCTATAGAAAAATTAGACAATCATCATAATTCTTTAAACTAATAATAGTGTCTTCGAAATACTTTAAAATCCATAAAAAACTTTTAAAAAACCCTTTCCATCCTTCACAAATAAAAAAATCCCAAAATAAATCTAAAAGTAAACTCTTTTAAAAATGCATTAAAACACAAGAAAACACTGTTACAACCATATTTACTCCGTAATCAGAATGAGAAATTCCCAAACCTTTTAAATGAATAAGAATTTCAGGAGTAATCATAGCCATTAGACAATCTATCTAATAAAAAACTACTTTTAAATAATTTAGATCTTCCAAAACAGGTTTACAATATGAATTTATTATATTTTAGAGCGCCCAAAATGCCTTTTCTTCATCTTTAAAAACCAAATAAAGATATAACGCAATATGATTCATTCCTTAAATATAAGAAATATTAGAATTATAATAAGCATACATCCTTAGAAGAGTTTATAAAGTATTAGAATTAATAAAAGCGGAATGCAATTATAAAGAACGGGAAACATCATTGGAAATTTCTTATTCGATTTTCGAAAAAATATATTCTTGTGCTATTTTTTATTTTAAATTTAAATACGTAAAACTTTTTACATTTTCCATATTTAGTTTTTTCTCAAATAACTTTATCCTGAATTTTTCAGGTCTTTTAATGAAGTTTAAAAATAAGGCTTTCATATAATAAGGATATAATTTTCTATATATTTCTTTATTTATATTTAATGGAAATTATTATAGGTTTTCCCTTTTTATGTAAAATATTATCTTTTTTAATACTTATATTATATTCTCGCTTTTATTTTTGGGTTTTCTGTATAATTTGTAGTTTTCATTTAGTTTACTTGGGCTATTTAATTTTGTTAAATTAGGTTCTAAAGAGTATTTTTGGGAAATATTTTATAGGATTTTCTTTATTTAAGATTTTTTAATTTCTAAATTTTACATTAGATTTTAAAAAGATTAAAGCTGTGTTTATAAATCAGTTTATGGTTGAAATTAGGTTATTAAGATTTTTAAATATGAAGAATAATTTTTTTATGGATATTTTAATGTTTTTTCGAAAAAGTTTATCCATAAATTTTCATTTTCGAAAATTTTTGGAAAAAGCAAAGAATTTTTAGATATTAAAGACTGATTTTTTTTTAAAACTTGATAAATCTCAATTAAGTTTTCAAATAAAGATTAATTTTAAAAAATATTATCTTTTTTAGAGATTTAGTTTATTATATGGATAAAAAAATTCAACTTTTTTGAATTTAATTATATTAAAGTTTAATCTTGTAAATATTTCTAAGATTTTTTAAAAAAATTCTAATAATCTTCATTTTAAGTGAATATTTCATCTATTTATTTCTTTTTTTTTTAATTTTTTTTCTTTTTTTTTTACATTTTCAATATTTTAATTATTGTTTTTGTCTTAAAAAATATAAATTATTAAATCGTTTATGTTAATAGTTTAAATTTATACTATTTTTAGTAATTAGAAAGATGATATATAAATAAATTTACCTTTTTCTTTATATGCTTGAAAAGCATCATTTAATTTCGAAACTATATTTTATTAAATTTAACTAATAGTTTTCAAAGAATCATCATTTTTTTAAACATTTTTGCAAAAAAAATTATTATTATTAAAAACAGTAATAAATTTTTCAATTGTTTTTAATTAGAAATTATTTTTACTTTAATTATTATTTGAAAAGTCGATTACTAAATCTGACAGGAAAAGCGTATATTTTTCCCATTCTATTTGTATTTCGTCTTTTTTCATTATATTTTCTTTTAATTTATTATGTTTTTAGTTCCAATTTTCTTTTATGCATTGATTAGTATTATTATAATTTTCAATAAACATTTCAAAAGGTTCAATAATTTCTTCTTCTTATTCTTTAAATACTATCTATTAGGTACATATCTTTGTAAGAAGAAAATTAATTAAATACATATATTCGTCTTATTAATTATTATCATCTAAAAATTATTATGAATAATATTTTAATTTGCCCCAAAAAAACTTTTATTCTTCATAAATTTTTCGTATAAAATTTATAAAATTCTATGTACTTTTTGTATTATTATTTATTTCATTTTCTAGTATTTCAAAAGCTTTTTTAGATTCTTCTAAAAGTATATAACTCATGAATATTATTTATAATAATTATTAAAATAATAATTAAATATTTATATTTAAATTAATTGAATTTATTAAGAGATAAATATTTAATATTTTAATATTATTTTTTAAATATATAATTTTTTTTTTTAATAAAATAAATAATTTATGGAAATTATTGATAAAAACTATTTATTAAATAAATAATAATAGAGGCCATTTTGTTGCTAATCTTTAAATTGAAAATGAAAAAATGCTTGATTAAAAATAATTAATATTATCATACAAAGAATTCAAATAGAATAAAAATTGCAAAAATATATATAATGAATTTAATGATGATATATATAAATATTTTCATATTAGCAAGTAAAATTATTAAAATAAAGATTTAACGTCTAAAATTTTAAATTAAGCTAAAATATAGATATTAAACATTAAAGTAGAAATAGTGTAATTGTTTGATGTAAAATAATATTTATATCTGTTAAAGTCAAATAAATTAAATAAAAATGATATTAAAAAACCTTTTATCCTAATATATATATAAATTTTAATTTATTAGCATAATATGTACTCAATTATTGTATATAATTCAACTATTTTCTTTATATATTCAAATTTTTTACTGTAATTAAATACTATATTATTTAATTTATATATATTAAAATCATAAAATATTAATTAAAACTAAAATATTTTTAGATTCTTTTACTACTATAAAAATATCATATATATTAAATATATTATTTTATAATTTTCAAATTTTAAAAAAAAAAATTAAAATAAATATAAAGTAATTTTATATATAAAACACTTAGAAAAAAAAAATGGATAAAATATCAAAAACATTAATAGTAATATTGCTATTCTAAATATTATACACCTTTTAATATTAAATTAAGAAATAGATTTTAATTTTTAAAAATAATTAAACCTTAATGAACTTACTTTATTTAATTCAATTTTTTATGATAATTTCCATTTTGAGATTTAGTTATTAATACTTACAAAATAGAAATAAAATAAAAATACTAAATTTAACAAATAAAAAATCAGCCAAATAATTAGATATGGAAATTAAAAAATTAACTAAATTGCATTTAGAAAGATTAGTTTAATCAGCTTAATATAAAATACATAGACTAAAATACAAGAATTATGAAGAGTTTGCAAGGGATATAAATCTATAAGAAGAAGATTAAATAGTATTATCAGATGATAGTGATTAATAAAATTTAAAATGATTTAAATAATAAATATATTATGTATTATTAATATATAATTATAAAAATATTTATATATAATATCTATATTTTTTTCATTTTGTTTATTTTTATAATATCATATATTTTAATATTAAAAATTTATAATAACTTATTTAATAAATCAATATATTAAAATAATATTTAATTCCCAATAATTAGTATATGGGTAAATTTACAAACAAGATTATTTATATTCCTTTTTTTTTATTTAATTTTTACCTATTTAATACAAACAAATTATCTTAGTTTTTTAAGAGAAATAGAAGATTAATTTATATTATTTTTAAATTAAAAAAAATTAAATTTAACAAAAGAAAATGAAATAATACTAAAATTGAATATAAAATAATATTTATAATTTTTTTGTAAATAATATCAAAAATATTAATTAAGAAATAAATAAATAATTTTAAATTTATTACATTTTAATGAGTTTTATTACATATAAAATATATTTTAAAATGCAATATAAATTTCATTATAAATATTTCCATATATTTAATAGTTTGTTTGATTATATTTTAGTTTTAACAAAAATTTTAATATATTATTATTATTATTAAGAATCTTAAACTTAGAAAATATATTTGATAATTTTATTATTTATCTATGTATTTTTTTAAAAATATAATTATTAATAAGTAGCTTTTATCTATTGTTTTTTATCTTATTTAAAATAAATAAAATATATTTTTAATAGTCTATATTTATATTAAGAAGTTAAATTTATAAAGTGCTTAATTTTATAAATATAAAAATAAAAAATTTGCTTCGAAATTATTATTTTAATATTTAAATTTCTTTAATATGCCTTTATTTTTGTTTATTATTGAATGTTTGTTTAAAAAAAATTATTATTATTTTATAAAATTAACATTTAAATTTTTTTTCTCCTCTTTACAATAATTTTTACTAAAAAAAAATAAAAAAAAAAAATAAAAATAAAAAATTAAAAAAATAAATAATGTAAGATAATGTTTCTGATTTGCATCATAAAATGTGCAAAAAAGTAGCCCAATTGACAAAAGTTATATTTTTTTTAAATACAAAAAACGACGAATATGAGCAAAATTTAAAAGCTGTTGTTTTAACTTATGAAAACTAGTTAGAAAGTACAGTTAAAGAAAGTAATTTAATAATATAAAAATATAAGGAGGCTTTAGAAAAGTAGAATAAAAATGAGGAAAACTTAAAAGAAATCCAAAAGGTAAAGTAATAAGTTGAATAAGAAAAGAATTAAAGCTTAGTTGAATTTAGTAAATTTAAATAGAAATGCGAAGAAAAAGAACTATAACAAAATAAAAAAATCGAATAATATAAGTTATAATGTGAATAAAATGTAAAGAAAATTGAAACTTTAAATATAAATGTTGAAAAAATGATAAATAATACTGAAACATTGAAAAAAAATCACCAAAAAGAAATAGCTGATTACGTAAAAACATAAAATGAGAAATTTAATGAATTACTTAAGAAAAAGCTTGATGCTGAGGAAAACCTTTAAAAAACATAAAATGAAAATTAAACTTTAAAGAAAAAAATTGATGAACTAAATAAAAAAATACAAGAAGATTTAAAAAACTAAAAAGGATAATCATAAGTGTAGATAGAAGAATTAGTAAAAAATATCATATTATATATATTTTATTCTTATTTTAAATTACAATAAGAAAAAATAACTTGAAACTAAAATTAATTAAGTTGAATAAAAAAATAAAGAATAAAGTTAAAAATTTTCAGAACTTGAATAAGAAAATGGATCCTTAAAAACTTAATTGATACAAAAAGATTAAGTAATCAAAGTTTTAAATGAAGAAAAGAATAATTAAAAGAAATTGTATGAATAAATTTAAAAAGAAATGCAAGATTTAATAAAAGAATTAACTAATTTAAAGAATGAAAATAAATCAATTTCAGAAAAAAATAAATAGCTAGAAAGTACTTGTAAACAATTTGAAAATACAGTAATTTAATAAGAAAGAAAAATAAAAGAGCTTTAAGAATACTCAAGCAAATAAATGAACATAAAAGAAAGTGAATTAATGACAACAAAAAAATAATTAGAAAAACAACTAAATGATAAAATAGAAGAATTAAAAAACATAAGAAAAGAAATGGAAACAAAAATAGAAAACTTATAAAATTAATTAAAACAAAGCGAATAAAATTGTTCTGATAAAGATATAATTATTCAAAGCTTAAATTTAAAATGTGAAAATTATTAACAATAAATATAAAATTTACAAAATGAAATTTTTAATCTTTAAAACAATTCTGACGGATAAATTTAAATTATGTAGGCTCTTTTGAAAACTAAAAATGAAGAGTTCTAAAATACTATTAATAAATTGAATTAAGAAAATGAAAAATAATGCACTGATATGAAAGCTTATTTTGAATAAAAAATATTTGCATTATAAAAAGATCATTCTATTTAAATTTAAAATTTGAATTAAGAAAATGATAAAAACCAATCTTATATGAAATCTAAATTTTAATAAGAAAATTAAGTAATTTTTTTTTTTATTATTTTTTAACCAATAAAAAAGGAATTATTAGATTAATTAGAAAATTAAAAAAAGTTATTTTAAAATAATGAAAATTTCTTATAATAATAATTGTAATAAAAAAATAATGAATTAAATCTTAAAATATCTGAATTAAATAAAAAATGTGAAGAATATCAATAGAAAATACTATCTATGGAAGATATAAATAAAAATTTAGTATCTGATTTGGATGAAAAATAAAAAATAATAAAATAATAAGAAAACGAAATCAATTAATTATAAAATCAAATCCAAAATCTAAACTAATAAGGAGATTCTAAATAAAAAAATTTAGAAAATGAACTTTTAGATTTGAAGAGAAAAATGGAAGAAAGTGAATAAAAATACAAAAGTGAAATACATAAACTTAAATCAAATCTAAATGGAGAACTTTCAGAAACTATAACAAGGATGAGAGTTTAAAATGAAGGCGAAATAAATGCTTTGAGAGCTTAAAATTAAATAGAAATTAATAGAATCGAAGTATTTATTTATTTGTTTTTACAAAAATTATATTAAATATATTTTTTTTAAGAAATAAAAAAATGAAGAAATTAGAAGATTAAAAGAACATGTTTAAAGTTTAAAAGAATAATTAAATAATGATAATTAAGAATATTTAGGAAAAATACAAGAATTAGAATAGAAATACTAAGAAGAAATTAAAGGGATCAATCAAAAGTTTAATTTAGATATGAAAATGACTTAAGAAAAAAATGAAAATTAATTAAAATAAATGTAAGAAAATTATGAAGTTGAAATAAAAAAAATCAAAGAAAATTTAATTTTTGAACATAATAAACAATTGAAAAAATTTTAGGTATAAATTTATTTATATATTTCAAAAAAAAATTAAAAATAAAGGATGAAAAAGATATTGAAATATAAACATTAAGGAATTTACATGAAGAAAAACTAAATTCATTATCAAGAAAGTTTGACTTTTAATTAGCAGAAAAAACAAGTGAATTCGAATAAAAAATTAAAAGCCTATAAAATAAATTAGAAAGTGAATAAAATTAACATAATAAAACACAAGAAGAACTAAAGAAACATATTTCAATTGTAAAAGATCTTCAGAGCAAGTTATAATAATTAAAACTTGAAACTGATAATATTATTTCTGAACTTACCAATGATATTAAAAATAGAATTTAAATAAATGAAAATCTAAGAGATTAATAAGAAAATGAAATGTCATTAAAAAATTAAGAAATAGAAAATATTAAATTAAACTTTATTAAAAAAGAAGAACAATTAATTAAAAAAACTAATGAAATCATAAATAAAAAAATTCAGGAGTAAATTGAATTTATTGAAGCATCTAGGCTATAATTTGCTGAAGTTGAAGATACTTTAAATTAAAGATATTAAAAATTAGAAGTTGAGTATTAAATTTTTTTATTTTTCATCTTATTTAAATTTTTTATTTATATAAGTTATAAGGATTTATAATAAATGTTTGAAGAAAGACCTTCTAGACCTGAAGACATCGAAAATATAAAGATTTTACATTAAGAAATATTAAGAAGAGATTCTGAAATTAATAAATTACATGAATAAATGAAATTCTTTAAACTGGAACTTATTAATAGAGAAAATAATTATAACAAAATTTTTAATGCTAATCCTAATATAGGAGTATTAAATCCATTAGAAAACAAAGTAAGTATATATTTATTTATTTATATTGCAAAATATATAAAAAATAAAAAGTAAAATATCCAAAAGTTAAACAAACAATAAAGTATAAATTCAGGAACAGTTACAGCAAACTTATAGAAAAGACTAAGCAAAATATAATAATAATGAAAAATGAAAATATAATAAATATAAAATTAAAAAAGAAATAGAAATTTAATATATTTAATTTTGAAATACTTTTCATAATATTAAATAAAAAAATTAATTTTTTAGCTTAGTCAATTATAATAATATAAAAAAATAATATATATATAAATAGAAGTAGTAATAAATTTAAAGAAAATTAATATAAATAAATATATAATATATAAAAAAAAAATTCTAAAAATATATAAAAATTGAAAAAAAAAACCTTATTGAAAAAATTTAAGTAATAATAAAAAAAAAAATATAAATAAATAAATTATAATAGAAATAAATTAAATAATGAATTAATAAAAGTAAATAAAAATATGTATATATAAATACATACAATTATATATATATAAATATATATATTTATAAATATATAAATATATAATATAATATAAATATATATATAAATATAAATAGAATTATTATATATGTTTTTTAATTTTATAAATCCATACCATTTTAAGTATAAAAATTTTAATTCTCCATTTAAATTTATTAACTTTTAAAAGATTATTTTTAATTTTTTTGGAAAGTTAATCTTTAACTCAAAAAATTTAATGATAATTTTAAAATACTAAATTCAAATTTTATTAATTTCCTTTTTTTTTACATTTAATTTACAAAAATTTTAAAAATAAAAATAAAATAATTAATAAAATAAAAAAATAATTCTAAAATTGGCCTGTTAGAAATCCTAAACAGCGGTAAAAATATTATATAATACTTTTCTAGTTTATTTTAATTAATGTAAAGAAATAAATATAATAAAATAATTATAAATAAATTTTTAGGGTAACATATATTTTTTTATGGCATTTTGATAAGTCTTTTAATTATAAATTCTGAATTATTGATTTATTTATATATTTATTATTATTTTTACTATGTACGTTACAACCTATATTTTTATTAAATTAATATATATATATATATATATATATATATATATATATATATATATATATATATATATATATATATATATTTTTATTTTACTTTTTAAAAAAATGTCACAAATAATATTTAAGATAAGAATATTTTATTTATAAATGCTAAATTTAAATCATTTTTATTTTTATTAAATATATAAATATATAAAACACATTAAAAATATAGTAAGCAAAATTTTTTTTAAATATTATAGTTTGTAATGTTAACAAAAAAAATAAATTTATTTAAAATAGTTACATATTTCTATTTTATATAAAAACCTTTAAAAAAATAATTAAATATATGAATATATATTTATGTATTTACTGTTATTCTGAAGAATTTTATATATTTTATAATAGAAATATTAATTTTATTAGTTTTATTTTAAATGCTTTATTTATCTTATTTTAAATTAATTCTTAAAAACTTTATCATATTAAAATATTACGACTTAAAAATATAATTTTTATAAATTTTTATATAATAATATTCAATTTTTTAAGATTCAATCATTAAAAAATTATATAAATAACAACATGAACTCTTCTTTAATATGCTAAGATAATTTAAATGATAATACATAAAACTAGAATAAATAAACGGTATAATAATTTAGTTTAAATAAATATTTAGTAAACATAATATTTATAAAATAAATTAAAAAGGAGAATAATATAAAATGTTCAATAGTTAAGGATAAAAAATTATTAAGGAAACGTTCAGCAGTATTAATAAGTTTATCTTAATTAATAAATTCTGAAGAAGTAAAAGAAGCAAAAGAAACAAAAGAATAGAAAAATATCGAAGATGAAATAAAAGAATTATAAAACGAATGTAATTATACAAGAGGACTATTAAAGTTAATATTATCATTAAAATTATTGTTTAATGTTAGGAAATATTATAAATTATCTACTAAAAATATAAGAATTTGTAGTAAATTAACTCAATAGTAATTTAGTTTGATATAAGATGTGTCATCAAATTATACATAAAATTTATTATATAGAAATCAACAAAGGAAAAAGCTAGATAAATTAGGTAATTTGTTATAATTTTACTTATAATAATTAAGTTAAATATGCAGTAGAATACCTGTTTTGCAGCCAAATAGCTATCTACGTTTTTTATGGGATATATTTTTGGCTGGAAACATATTTTTAATTTTATTTTATAATTCTTTAATTTAATTTTTTGAAATGAATACTAATTAATATATAAACTATTTTAAATTTTGCTTTATTATTTTTGTTATTGATTTATTTCTAAATTTTAATACTGGAATTCTTAAGAAAGGAAACTTGATTTAAAGTAGAATTAAAATTGCTTTGAATTATTTTAAATTAAATTTTTTTTTAGATTTATTAGCTATTATTCCTTTATTTATTGTTTATTTTAATTTCTTAAACAGTCTTAATATTATACACGAAAATCATTTCATTTACATTTTATTATTTTTAAAAACTTTTTAGTTGTATAAAATTTTAAATAGGCTTTCCTTCATTTTTAGCTTTTAATATGATTATAAAAATTGTATTGATTTAGTAAAATAAGGTTTGTTAATATGTTTAGTATGCCATATTTTTTCATCCTTATGGCACGGATTAGCTCTTTATGAAATAAAGTTTTTGAAAAGAAGTGATACATGGATAGATGCTTAAAATCTAAATAATGCAGATATATAAGTTAAATATGTTTATTCATTATATTACTTAGCTGCAACTATGATTTCTGTTGGATATGGTGATGTAACTCCTAAAAATTGGATTGAATGTATTTTTGCAATTTTGACAATGTTTTTTTCTGGAATGTTTTATGCTTATAATGTGAATTCAATAGGAATCATAATAGCAAACATAAAAAGAAGAAACGCAGATTTTCTAAATGATATGCAAATAATTCATAATTTTATGAGAAAAGGAAATGCAAATAATTAAATAAAAATCTAAGTATCAAATTATTTAGAATATTTTTATAATGTTATTTTTTTTTTTAAAAAACAAAAAATTTTTTTTTTTTTAAATAAAAGCAATCAAATTAAATTGAAAAAGAATAAGAATAATAAGTTTTATTAAGACTTTCAAAACAATTAAGAGAAAATTTAATTGAAGATGTAAATTCCTAATATTTGAAAAATATTCCCTTAATTTCCCGTCTCAAGTCTCTCAATCATATTTGCTAAATTATGGAAGAATGCCTCTTTTCTCCTGGAGAAACTATATTTAGCTAAGATGATAAGGATGATTCTTCTATTTACTATATAGAAAAAGGTACCATAATTATAACTGTTTAAAGTTCAATAAAAGGATCATAAAGAGGAAGTTCTATAGTTTAAAAATTAAAAAAAAACAATTTTTTGGGGAAGTTGGATTTATTACTGGATTCAAGCGTACAGCTTCTGCTAAAGCTCTTGATTTTTGTAGAGTATTTAGGATTAATAGAGAGAAGTTCATGCAAATTATTGCTGAAAGTGATGAAGATTTCGAGACTTTTCAAATGTTAAAAAACGATATTATATCTAATAATAATTATTTTAATTCTAATATTAATTGTTATTAATGTAAATAAACAGATCATTTGTCTATAAATTGTCCTAAAACACACTTTACGCTTTCTATATAACCTTTTATAAGGAAATTAAATTATAGTGTAGCTCATATATAACGCAATAATACAACAAATAGAAAACGAAAAAAGCAAAATACTCTTAATAGTTTAAATTATTATCAAAATACACACTATTAGTATAAAGAAGATTAAGATTTAGATAATTCAAATGATAATCAACTATTTTATTCAAGCGAAGAAAAGTAAGATGAATATTCTTAAACTTAATCAAATACTTAGATTTTTTAAATAAAAGATGAACAAAATTAACAAATGTGTTTAAGTCCAATAATTTAAAATGATAATAAAAAAAATCATCAAAAAAAAGAAAATAGAAATAGTATATTATAAAAAAAAAATATTTAATTTGATGATGAATAATTTTCTGATAGAATTAGTACTTATTGTAAGGATGAATAAAATTTAGAATATTTTAATAAAAAAAGTGATTAACAAATTTAAGAATAATTTGTTTTAAAATAAAATATCAGTTAATAATTAATTACTAATGTAGATTTTTTTAAAACTAAATAAATAGAAATTGAAGAAGCTGATTGTTTTAATTTTTCGGAAGGAAGTAATAATAAAGAAGAAGTATTCTTTGAAAGCATTGAAAACCTTAATATATAATTAATTAAAGATTAAAATACTAATATTAGCTCATTAAAATAATAATAATAATTAAAAGAAAAAATTACTGACAAAATATATTTAAAAAAGAAAGATAAAAAATCTTAAGAACCTAAAATAAGTGAAAGAAAAACTATAATAAAGAATAATATTAAATCTTAATTATTAGAAGAATCTAATAAAAACTTTTAGGGTTATGATTTTAAAAATTAAAATGAAAGTGTATACACTAAACATTATTAAGATAAATTTTATTGTATTATTATTGATTTATTGAAAGCTTATAAATATTATAATCCGTTATTTAATTATGATATTGTAATATAAAAATAATAAAACTTTTTGTAAAATAAATTGTATAAGTAAAATAATATTCTTCAGTTTTTAAAAAAAATTAGCTTAAACAAAAGAAATAGAAAATAAATAACTAATACTATTTTCAATTAAACTAATAATTTTAACAATAATAATATTTTATATAAATAAATACAAATTTGATTTATTATTAAATTATTTATATATTTAATTTATAAATAATAATAAATACTTAAAAATATTATATATTATTTTAAATAAAATAATATATATATATATATATATAAATATATATATTTATATATTTTATTAATTTTTTTTAAATAAAAATTACTATTTATAAATAAAATAAAATATTAGAATTTAAATAAATTTCAAAAAAAAGAAGAAAAAAACAATATAAATATAAATTATTTAAATAAATTTATATTAAGAGTATAATAATAAAAAAAAAAAAAATATAGAAAAAAAAAATGACTGATATAAAGGCTCCATTAATTGATCATTTGTCTAGTACATCATTTAAAATAACTTAAAAAGAATTATGGTAACTTAATCTAATCTTTTTAATAAAAAATTGAATTTATACTTAATTATTTCCTTTAATAAATAAAAAATATTTAAAAATTAAAAATAGTGATTTATTTTAACCTGACCATATTCGTGATGGTGAATCTGTCAAAAAACTTTGTGATTATAATGGAATATAAGGGTTAGCATCATTATTAAAAACCAGTTTAAAAGTATAAAAATATAAAAATATGTTTATATAACAATAAATATAACAAAAAGAATGGTATTGATTCAAGCTAATAATCTTTGTTAGAACGTTAAAAAGCGTAAAATAAAATTATTAACAAATTAAATTTAATTTAAACTTAATAGTTTTGGAATTAATGAATAAATAGTAAAACCTTCAAAAACATTATGGGAATTAGTAATTAACAAAAAAAAATGTATATTTTAATCTAAAAAAAAATAAGATAATAGGATAATTTGAAGATAAGATCCTTAGAATATTATGTGCTGCATCTTTAGTGTCTTTAATTGTTGGAGTAATTGAAGAAGGCTTAGAATAAGGATGGTTAGAAGGTTTTGCAATATTCGTAGCAGTAATAATTATAGTATCTGTAACATCTATAAATGATTATATGAAAGATAAATAATTTAGAAAGCTTAATTAATAAGCAGAAAGAAGAAATGTTAATGTAGTCCGTGATGGAAAAGTAAAATAAAATATTGATAAGATATATAATTTAATTTAATAATAATAATAAATAAGGTTGAAAATATTTCAATATTTAGTTTACTAGTAGGTGATTTAATGCAAATAGAAACAGGAGAAATATTCCCAGTAGATGGTGTATTAATAAAAGGAAATAATTTAATATGTGACGAATCTTCCATTACCGGAGAATCAGATCCTATTAAGAAATAACCTTATAATCATCCCGAAAAACCAGCTCCATTTTTAGTTTCAGGTTCAAAAGTAATAGAAGGAAGTGGAGAAATGTTAATAAGTGCCGTAGGTGTAAATTCCTAAAATGGCAAACTAAAATTACGTTTATAAGAAGAAGATGATGATGTGAAAACTCCTTTGTAAGAAAAACTAGACGTTTTAGCAGACGAAATAGGAAAAATAGGTATAACATGTGCTACTTTAACTTTTTGTGCAATGATAGTTAATTTAATGATTTCAAATTATCTTAATGGATATTCTATTATCTAAATTGCTAATATTGAAGATATTGTCGGATTTTTCATTATTGCTGTTACTATTGTTGTTGTTGCCGTCCCTGAAGGACTTCCTTTGGCTGTTACTATTGCCTTAGCTTATTCTGTAGGAAAAATGAAAGAAGAAAATAATTTAGTTAGATTTTTGGAAGCTTGTGAAACTATGGGTGGAGCTCATACCATTTGTAGTGATAAAACAGGTACACTTACTTAAAATAAAATGAAAGTTACTAGGCTTTTTGCTTAAGAAAATATTTTTTCAGAATTTTAAAGTAAAGATTTCTAAAAAAAAATTCTTAATTATTTGTGTGAAGGGTAATTTATATATATGTTTTTTTTGTTTATTTTTATGAAAAATAGAATTTGTATTAATTCTAATGCATTCCCTAAAATAAGTGAAATAGGAAAGTTTGAATAAATAGGAAATAAAACTGAATGTGCTCTACTTCAAATGGCTTACGAATTTGGATTTGATTTTAACAAATATCGTCCATCTGAAAATGTAAAAAAATATATATTTTTTCAAAAAAAAAAAAAAATCAAAGATTATAAAAATAATACCTTTTTCATCAAGTCGTAAAAGAATGTCGACAGTATATAAATCATAAGAAAACACAATCCGTGTATATACGAAAGGAGCTCCAGATCTATTATTGCCTTTATGTTGTAAATACGTTAATAAATTTGGAGAAGAATAATATATTAACGAAGAATATATAGGTTTATTAAAATCAAATCTGAAGAAATTTGCTGATGCATCTCTTCGTACAATCTTAATAGCATATAAAGAGTACCCGGCGTCCTAAATGACCGAACAATTATTATCAAATGACGAAAATCTAGAATCTGACTTAATAATATTAGGTTTAACCGGAATATAAGATCCTCTCAGACCTGGAATTTCTGAAGCAGTATCTACATGTAGAGCTGCTGGAATAACTGTAAGAATGGTAACAGGTGATAATTTAGATACAGCAATAGCAATATCAAAAGAGGCTGGAATAATCGCCTAAGATTTCAATGTTGCAGATAATCCTTATACCGTTATGGAAGGAAAATATTTCAGATAATTAGTTGGAGGAATAGTTTCTGTTAACGATAAAGTTTCAGTTGGGAATCTTGATAAATTTAAAGAAATAGCTCCCCACTTGAGAGTATTGGCTCGTTCTTCTCCTGATGATAAATATTTACTTGTAACAGGCTTCAAATAATGTGGATAAGTTGTTGCAGTTACAGGAGATGGTACTAATGATGCTCCAGCACTAAAAAAAGCAGACATAGGATTTGCTATGGGAATCGCAGGAACAGAAATAGCCAAAGAAGCCTCCGGAATAATTATCCTTGATGATAATTTTAGTTCAATAATAACTTCTATTAAATGGGGAAGAAATATATTTGAATGTATTAGAAAATTTTTATAATTTTAAGTTACAGTTAACATCGTTGCTATGTTCATGGCATTTATGGGAGGTGTCATTTTAAGAGAGTCGCCCCTTAATTCAATCTAAATGTTATGGGTTAACCTTATTATGGACACGTTGGCGTCTTTAGCACTTGCTACAGAATCCCCTAATATGGAATTGTTAAAAAGAAAACCAATTTCTAGAACTGAACCTATGATAAATGCTTTAATGTGGAGAAATATAATTTGTCATGGAGTTTATTAAATTATTGTACTTACTATTATACTTTTTTATGGACCAGATTTATTTGATATATCTTCTAGTATTCATGCAAAGCCTTGGAATGAAGAAAATGGAATTCATTATACAATTTTCTTTAACGTTTTTGTTTATTTGTAAGTCTTTAACGAAATAAATGCCAGAAAACTCAAAAGAGAAGAAAAAAATGTTTTTGTTGGTTTTTTTAATAATTCTATGTTTTTGTTTGTTATTTTTGGAACTATTATTGTTCAAATGACTATTATTGAAATCGGAGGAAAAGCTGTTAAATGTGCTCCTTTAACTACTAGTTAGAATATTACTTGCATTTTTATTGGTTTATCTTCCCTTTTAGTTGGCTTTATTATTAAACTTATCCCTGTCGGGTTTTTCAATACTTGCAAATTATTATCTGAAGAACCCCCTAAAAACGTACCATTTGACTAATAGGGTACTATAAGAGACATCATTAATAGACCTTCATAATTAAGAGCTAGAAGCTCTCTTAGATAATCTATTAGAAAGTCTTAAAGAGTTTCTCAAAGTAACTCTCAAAAATAATAATAATAGTAAGTTGGTGGACATAAAGTTGTAGAAATGAAATAATATAATTGATAAATGATTTGATTATATTTATTTTCTATTATTAATATTTTTTTTTAAATAAATATAATATTTTAGTTTTTACTATTATTATGATTAAAAAAATATAAATTTTCAGTCAATTAAAAAGAACTAATTAACTATTTTATGTTTTAAATTTTATTTATGATTTTAATTATTTAAAGTAACGACTATATAAATTTGTTTTATAAAAAAAATAGTGATAACAAATTTTTTTAGAATTTATATATTATTATTTAGATATAATTTTATTTCAATTATCACAGAAATTACTACATTAAAAAAGATATTTTAAAATAATAAAATATATATTTATGAGATGTAATTTATAAATTGCATTAAAAAAAATTATTTTTTGTAAAATCAAAGATACAAAATCAATTAACTTTTTTAAATTTTTTGGGATTCAAAGATTTTTATTTACTATCGTATTTTTTTCAGAATTCACTTAATATTTAAATTTATTAAATCTTTACTATATTTTATAGCATGAAATAGTTTTTATCAATTTTTTTTATTTAAATTAAAAATAAATACAAGACAAAAACATTTTAACTAAATTATTCTGTTTAAGTAAATCCTATCAAACAAATATGGTGTATTTTAAAAAAGAAACTTTAATTATTTAATGAAAATTTATGATAAGTAAACTCTATAATAAATTAGTTGAGTTTTATAATTAATATGTATACAAAAAATTATGAAAGTAAATGAAAGCCCATATATGATATTAATGTAATTTTAATTATTTCATTTTAATCATAAATTTATAATTCGATTTTTTTTTCTAATATAAATGTTTATAATGAGAAAAAAAATATAATTATAGGGAAAAATAAATCGCAGATCAATGTAAAAAATCAATTTATTTACAAATAATTATTCTTTAAAATATTCATCCGATATTTTTATTGTTTTAATGCAAATATTTTAAATTTTGTAAAAATTTCTAAAAAGAGAAATTAATAATGATTTATATAATTTTTAAAATTAATTATATAAAATGTATTATAATTTTTTTATTTATATTTATATTATTTATATATATTAAATAAATTTTTATCAATTATTTTGTATTTATTTTACTTTGTATTTTTTATTTATTTTATTTAATTTTTGAATAAAATAATTAATAGAAAATTATTACATTATTATTTTTAATTATAAATATTAATTAATCTAGAAAAATATTTTTTTTCTTAAATATCTTAAAAACATTATTTATTATATTATAATATATAAAAACATGATATTTAATAAAAGGGATTTTGTAAAATTAAAAACCATATTCAAAATTTTATGATAATATTATATATAAGAAAGTTGAAATAATGTTTGCTTAAAGGGATAAAAAGTTATTTTTTTTGCTTCAAATTAAATTATAAATATATAAATATAAATTTATATTTATTAATTTTTTTTTTATTAATCTTATTTTGATATAGAAAATAAAAATTAAATACTCAATCAAACAATATAAAAGTATTAACTATAATAATTTGTTTAGATTATTAAAAATGAGGAAAAGAACTAAATCAACCAATAATTAAACAGTTCCTGGATTTTTATCTAAAACTTATAAAATATTAGAAGTAAATATTAATTATTAAATTAAATTTTATTTATATATAATTTAAAAAAAGAATGAAGAATATAATGATATTATAAGCTGGAATATAGATGGTAGAAGCTTTTTAATTAAAAGCCCAAATGAATTTGCAGAAAAAATATTACCAAAACATTTCAAAACAAATAATTTTTCTTCTTTCGTTCGATAGGTAAATAAAAGAATAATTTAAAAATACATAAAAATAATATAAATAAAAAAAGTTAAATATGTATGATTTTCACAAATAAAGGCACGACAATACTGATATGCATGAATGGAGTCATAGGCTGTTTAGAAAAGGATATGCGTATTACTAAATAATATTAATACAATATTTTTTATTTATTTTATATAAAGAAATTTATTGTCATAAATAAAAAGAAAAATATATGAAGTTTTAAAGTCTTAAGGTCATGATAATGAAAATCCTAATAATAAAAGTAAAGAAACATAAAATGCAGAAGGATATTCTTAACTTAAAGGCGATGTAAAAATTTTAAATAAAAGAAATATTTATTTACATATTGTTAATTATTTAATAAATAAAGTATACTTAACTAAAAAATAGATTAGATAGTTTTGAAAAATATCTAAATAATATAATGGAATAAAATATTTAGATATTAAATGAAAACAAAACATTAAGGTTTATAAATATTAAATGAAATTATATAAATATATAAATTATTATTGTGAAAAAAATTAGAGAATTAAATGCTCTAAAATTTGAAAAAATAATTATTATATTCTTAAATTTTATAAAACAGATAAGTCAAAAATAAAATGGTATTTAACATTATTTAATAAAAATCGTTATTATTTAATAAATTAAAAAAATTAGATTGGACGCAATCTTAATATAAATATGAAGATTTTTAAAATTTTAATTTTAACATAAATGAATCTATAAACAAAAATAATAAAGAATTAGGTTAAAATGATTTAAATAACAGTATAAATATAATATAATCTACTAATTTAAATAAAGATAGTGAAAGTTATAATGCAAATATTATTCTGGGAAGATTTTTTGATTAATTAGTCGCAGGTTTACAAAAAAAGAAAATGATAATAATTAATCGTAAGAGAAAAATAAAATAGTAATAAGTGAAGATGATAATATAAAGTAAGAACATAAATCACATATAAATATTTCATATCATTTAGAAGAAATAATGAATAATTAAATAATTGAAAAAAATAATAATAAATCTATAGATTATAGTAAGCTTTTTAATATAAATTAATAATAATAATAATATTAATAATAATACTAAAATGAAAACGGATTAACAAAGAAAATAAAACAAAATATTTAAGATTTGAATCAAAAATAATTGGGCAAAAGTATATCTTAAATAGATTAAACCTATAATACAAAAAGTTATTAAAAATCCACATATTAATAATTAATATTGGGAAGAATTTTCAAAATTTATATTTGATTAAAAAATTGAGGACTAGTAAATAGAAAAAAACTAAAATTAAGAAAATAAATTAAAAAATTAAAAACAAATGTATGAATGATGAAAATTAATATAAAAAAATTAAAAGTGCAATAAACATTAAAAAAAAATATAAATATATGATAAAAAAATTAATTTAAATGCATAGAAAAAAAGAAATACATAAAATATGTAATTATATATAAAAAATTAAATTAAATAAAATAAAAAAAAAAAAAATTAATATAAATTAAAATTCAAAGTTATATTTATATTTAAACATATATAAATATTCAATATTTTTATATTTATATTTATATTTATTTTTATATTTATAATAATATTTATATTTATATTTTTATTTATATTTATATTTATATTTATATTATTAATAACTTTATATTTATATACTATTCATAATATTAAATAATAAAATGCATTAATAATTTATAATTTTGAATCCTTCTATTTTTTTTTTTTTTTTATTATTCTTATTTATAAATATATATCAATTAATTTTAGTACAACTTTTTTTACTTGCTTATTTTAAACATATATAATTATTCCATGATCCATGCCTTCCTTCATTATAGCTATCTCTTAAAAGTTATATACTTAATTTATATGATTCTGAATTCTGTTTAATATTATCTATACTAACAACATGAGTTGTATGCCTATGCAATTTCATAAATTATGCTATATTTTCTTCATTTTATTGCAATTTTTTCTTATAAACTAAGCTTTATGGGAACATAGTTGGAGTCTTTCATTTAATTAAATAAATTATATTTAAATAAATAAATAAAATAATTACATTACTAATACTTTTTTTTTATTCAATTATAGAAAGAGGTAAATTTCTTTCCAATGTAAAATTATAATTTTTTACATCTTTTTTTTATTAATAACATACTGTTGGGTCTATAAGTTTAGGGTTTTTAAAATTTTAAGGAGATTTACCAATAATTTAAGATAGCCAAGTATTCATTCTAATTCTTCTATCTTCAATTATTATTTATTACATATCTGAAAAATCGTATCTATTATAATAATCTGAATTAATTTATTCAAATAATCTATAAATATGTTATCTTTTATAATTTAATTCTTTAGGCTCTTCTAAAGAAATTTTTTCTATTAATATATCGGCTGTATTACCTTTTTCAATTAAAAGTAATTCATGAATATCTTTTTTATTGATTTATTTAGCTAAATACTATAACTCTTAGTCAGATATTACATGCAGACAATTTTATCCTCCGAATAAATGTGTGAAATTTTCACAATGAGTTTTGCATTTTTCACATAACAAAGTATAAATTTAAATCAATTAATCTTCATTAAGAACTCTATTTCGTTGGTTTCCTTATAAAATTCCTTTTTATAACTTTTATTTTTTAATTTTTGTCCCTTTAGCTTCAAATTTCTTCATTAACTCTATATTTTAAGTTGAAATTCTCATTTTTTTTTATTCTTCTTTATTTTTATTTTTCTCTGCACTATCCAATATATCCTTTCCTATTTTTCCACATTGAATACATAAACATTAATCTACAGAATGATAATTTAAGGCTGGACCATAGAAAGCAAACATATCAAGACGTTCATTTACATTCGCATGTTCTAAATTCTTTGGAAAAAGGAATTTCATTAAATTTTCTATTTAAACTTTCATTTTTTGGAAATAAAATTCTGGTATTTTCTAAGGAACTGCAAAATTAAATATGTCTCTTTCTTTATTACTATCAAATGCATTATCACTTCCATGCAATTCATTCTTTATTATGTTTTTTCCATATATTGCACGAAGACAATTCATATTTTCTTTCTTAAAAAAACATTTAAATAATTAATTATATTTTAATTTTTTTTATATACTTTAGCTATTTCTGGATCACTCTTTCCTATTATTCGCTTCCACTTTTCTATTGGATTTTCTGTTTCGTGACAAAGAAGTAATACAACACTTTCACCTGAAATCATATAATCTACTAATTCTTGAAAGTAATTCATTTATTAATGTTTGTAAAATAAATTCATTGCCTCTTGTTTTAGCAATTCTCTTTGTATCATGTTCTTTATCAAAAAACCATTATTTTCTATTACATTTATTATACCTTAAATCTTTTATTTTAAATATAATATTAAAATATATTTTATATATATTGCATTTTGTTTGTTTAATGATGTATCAGGTTTTATTATAGCTATAGTGTATGCTAAGTTTATACATTTCGGGTCGAAAAATTAGATTTTGCTATTCATAAATTTTATGAAGTGAAATTAAATTGATTAAAAATAAATAATATATTTATTTATATAAAAAATAAAAATAAATAAAATTAGTTGTTAAATTTTAATAAATAATAAGAATTAATTAGTGATATATTTAATTTTAATTATAATGTTTTTAATTAATTTATTTTTATGTTTTAAATTTATTTTGTATTATTTTCAATATTACATTTACAATTAATTTTAATGTAATTCTTTAATATGTTCCTATGATAATAAAATTTTGTTTCCATTATCATCTAATACAAACTCTTTGTTTTGGTTCTTCAAAAAACCATCTTCATCTAATTCATATATAATGGTTTCATTTATATATGATTATGAATTATAATCCTCTTTTTATAATAGCTATTATTAATAAATTAATAAATTTTATTTACATTTTGGATATTAAATTGGATATTTAGACTAATAAATTTATTCACTTTTTTGTAAATTAGAATCAAAAGCGATATTTTTTATAATAACTTATTATTCTTATTAACTTTAGTCTTCTTAGAAAGATTATGTTAATACATTAGTTGAAAATTATTATTATTATAAGTAATTATCTTTATTTTTTTATTTTTCTTATTGATCATTTTCTTAATATAATTTTTAATTTTGTTCTTTATTTATACATAATGATTTTAATTTTTATCTAAATATTTATTATATATTTATAAATTACACTCATTCAACTTTACATTATTTTTTAACATTTCACAATTTTTAATTATTTATAATATTTCATTATCTTTTTTTTCTTTTTAAGATTAATATTTTTTTACTTTTTGTTTCATTTTTTATATATGTTTTTTTTACATTCATTCATACTTTAATTTTATTAATTTATACTATTTAGTATTTATATTATGTTTTTATCATAATTGTATTCATATCCATTATCTTAATTTTAATCACTTTTTTTTTGCTAAGTTGACTTATAAACTATTTAGTTATTTGTATGTCTTTATCTTTATTATATTTATATATATGGATGTTTTTATCCATGCTTTTATTAGTTTATAATCCAATCGAATCGCAACAAAAAAATTTTCGATTATATATTATGACAATAAGAGATATGAAATTATATTAAATGCTAAAATAATATTTTATTTTATTTTAAATTCAATCAATAATAAAAAAGACAATTTTCAATTTTGATTGCTTTTTTTTATTTAGTCTTAAAAAAATTATGAACAATTAATACTTCATTTTAAATAATAGTTCAAGCTTTATTTTTAGGTTTAAGATAATATATCTAATTTTTATATCGAGCTTACATAATTTTATATTTTATATTTATTAAAATATTAAAAATACATATAATCTAATAAATTTTATATATTTTTTTATAAAACTTAAATTCATTCTATCGCTGTTTTACACAAATAAATTACATATATGAAATTATTTAAATAACCATATTAAAATAATATGTCTATTATGTTTATTGTATTAAATTATATTGCTTTTTTTGTGTTTGATTAAATTAATTTTTGTTAAGTTAATGAATAATAAATAGAAAATAATCTAAAAAAAATAAACAATAAATTAATCATATATAAAAAAAATAAAAATATAATATCTCATTTATTAATTATTTTTCATATGTATTTTTTTTTTAAGAATTTATTTATCAAAAAAACAAAAGCATGCATATAGATATAAAAAATATAATATCGAAAAAAAATTCTATCATATACCGCCTAAATCAATTTTTTTGGTTGTTTACAGTATTCTTTCTTTTCTTATTTTTTAAATTATTAGATATCATTTACGTATATAACTGAAAAAAAATTCATAACTTTAAATGTTCATTTATTTGTAAAATATTTTTTATATTTTTAATATTAATATAATAAATTATATTTTTAATTATTTTAAAATCAAACAAACATTCATTTGATTTTTTGATAAAATATTTATATTTAAAGATATATATTTTTTAATATTATATTTAAAAATTAGAAATTGAACTTCAAAAAAATTGTGAAAGGATAAATATAATTCGTAGTCAAAAAAAAAGGTTATATCAAATTTAAGTTTAAATTCAACAATTTACAAAAGTAATGAAAATTACAGCTCTTATATAAATATATATATCACCTTTTTATAGTTTTTTTTCTTTAATTTAATTTGTTTTTAAAATTAATAGTCAAAAAATAATTGACAATCAACAAATAATCATTTTTTCTTATTTTTATTTAGATTGATTTTTAAACAAAAAAATAGAAAAAATTTATAAGCGAAAAATATATATAAGTTTTTATAAATATAAATATAAAATAAAATACTTTATACAATCTATAAAATTATATCGATATTAAAAATTCATCTTTTTTCATAAATTATTTAAGCCATTTATTAAAAATTTATACTCAAATAAATTTAATTTATATTATAGATAAATTAAATTATTTCCATTTTTAAAGAGACTTTAGATTTGTAAAATAAAAATTAATTAATTTATACTATTATTGTAAAAAAATTAAAATAATATATATGCTTTTAATATAAAATAAAAATAAAATATCTTTTGAAAAAGTGTTAATATCTATATTCCAAAATAAAATTTTGAAATTATAACATTAAATTTATTGTACTTTAATGTTATATATAATTTTTTCATCAATATACAATTATTTCTAATTTTTTTTTTAATTAAATAATTCCTTTTTTGTGATTCATAAAAAAATTAGATTGTTTTATATAAGGATTTTTTAGTGATAAAAGTAAAATTTTTTGGGGATATAAAAGTAAATAAAAAGTGAAAGTAATACATGAAATTTTAAAAAAATATATTTCTATATAAATAATTTTAATTTTTAACGTTTCTTTAATTAATTTTTCTTTAACATATATATACAGATAGCTTAAATAAATACTAAAATTAAATAAAATTTTAATTATATAATATTAATTTCATATTATAAAAGTTCAGTATAATCATCTTTTAAAAAGGTATTGAAAATAAAATTATGTCGCTTTTCTATATAGTAAATATTTTGACTATATATCTAAATTTTATAGCCGTTGTAATATATAGATTATATAGAACTAATATAAAAATCAAATATAAATAGGAAAATATAATTCACGAAAAAAAAAATTCCAGCTATTAATTAATAATACTATAGAAATTATATATTAAATTTAAAGAAATTAATTTTGCCATATATTTCAAAAATTATAATAATTAATTGATTTATTATAATTTTAATAAAATATAATCAATATCTATTAGAATTAATTATAATAAATAAAAAATTATTTTTTAAAAAAATTAAAATAATTTTGTTTCTATGTTTTTATTATTTTATCATTATTATTTTGATTGTTTAATTAAAATTTATATACCTTATTCATATGATATGATTTCAAGCCAAAAAGTTTTTTTATCTGATAAAATCGGTTTTTATGAAATATCCCTATCAATATATTTATTTTTTAAAAGAAAATTATATATATAATATAAATAAAAACCTTCGATTTCTTAATCAATATAATTCTAAATTTTAATCTATTCTTAATCATCAAATATTTTTTTCTTTTTTTTATTTTCTACTTCTAATAAACTTTGTATGTTTGAAGTATGCATTTATTTATTTTGCATTGAGTTTATATTTTTTTATTCAGATTTTTAATTGCTTGTGTCTAAATAATTTGTCTATTTTTATTGATATTTTAATATGTTCTATATTTCGAATTTCAATTATTCTATTTATTGGTCATTGTTTTTAAATGAAATAATTTATTTTTGTAAATCATTATATTAACTGCTCAATTTATTATCTTTTTAATATTATTCATGTTAAAATTGTTCAAACTTTACTATTTTTTATTTAAAATCTTCTTGATTATTTTCTACTCTTTATATTTATTCTGTTAAAAATCTAATTTGATGAGCTATTTTATCTAAATCTTCTTATTTTTAAGCGTTAGAAATTTCTATTTCAAATTGAACTTAGTTATGAATACAATTTATCATTTTTTTAACTTATTTAAAAATAAAATCTCTTTCTTTAGAAACATTATCACTTACACTTTATTATTATTCATCACTATTTAATATTGAAAAAACAAAAATAAATATAATATTATTTAAGTATTTAAATATTTAGTAAAACACATTTATATTGAAGATAAATTATTTATAGAATCTAAATCTTTAAAAACACTTTTTTATTCCGTTTTAGGAGATGCTATTTTTTTAATTCAAAAAAATTAATATTTTTATATTAATATTGTACAAGTGAATGAAATATTATTTTTCCTAGAACTTTTTGTAACTGAGTTTTATGTTATAATTTTAGATTAATCCATTATTTTATAATTTTTTAAAAATATTATTATTATTTATAATTATTATATTTTTTAAAAACCAAGAATTTCAAAAACATATATATATATATATATGAATTATTTAAATTATATTTTTAGAACTTATATATATTATTTAAAAATGATATTTATCTTTTATAAAATCATATAGTGCATCCATTAATAATTTCTTTTTATCTTAATCCGCCAACAAATTCGAATTTTTTAAATTTCATTAAAAAATGAGCTTCTCCCTTACTTATAGATCTTAAATAAGTGCTATATCCAACAGTTTCAACCAAAGGAACAACTGCTTTAATTAAGGTTCGAGTAGATTAGCTACTTTAAAGCCCAAACATTTTATTCTCTTCAATTAATTCATTTACTCTACCTCTTTTATTAGAGCTTATATCATTAATAATTTATCTTTCGAATTCAAAAGGAGTTGATACTTCTAAATCCATAACTGGTTCTAACAATTAAGGATTTGCATTGTTTATAAGATCTTACATTAATTCACCTGTACACATTTAAATTCCTAATTCAGTTGTTCTTTTGCTTGAAAATTTTCCTCCTTTATTATTGATATATTATGTTTATTTAATTATTAATTTTAAAGAAATGTTTTTTACCTAATATTGTTACTTTACAATCGACCAAAGGATAACTCATTAAAGTTCCAGATAGTAACCCATTTTAAATGGTAGTTTCCATCAAATGAAATAAATCAAAATCTAAACCGGACAGTTAAAATAAGGAATCTTCGCCATATTCATCGATTATTTTCTCTATTTCGACAGGTTTTTCTGGATTTTTAATATATTTAAGTTTTTCTAATTATAACTAAGCAAAAGTTTTATTTTCATTCACTCTTTATTCATTTTATTAGTCATCTAATTCTAACTTTTTTAATTATTTTTCAACTAATCTTCTTTTATATTCTTTATAGTTTATATCCCATTCTATATCTCTTTTAAATCCATATTCAATTTTATTTAATTCATTCTATTAATTAAATTTATCCGAACTCTCTTCTTCATCAAAAAAATTAGGTTCGATTTTTAATGATAGTTCAAAAAAGTTAGGTTTTCCTTTAATCATTTTTTCATATTTATATCTATTTATTATAACATTATAATCATTTTTTTTTTAAGTAGTTACATAATTTCATAGCTATCACTAATACTTTCTTTATACTAAACTCTCATTTTTCCTAATTTCGTATCCAAATTATATTCAGTTTATAATCTATCCCTTAGTATTTCTAAATGAAGTTCTCCTAGTCCTTTAACTATTATTTGGCCCAAGTTTTCATCATCAACATATTATAAAGAATTATCTTCTCTGCATATTTATTCTAATGCATTTTATAAAGGAATTTTATCTTTCAAAGATTAATATTCTAAGCTTGCCATAAAAACAGGCTAAGGCATTTACAATTGTTCCAAAGTAAAATTTTCACCATCTTTTGAATCTAATATAGTATATCCGCTTTTACTTTGTCTAAATATTTTATTAATTTTATATTTTTAATGAATATAAATAATTATGCATACTTTAATCCTTATATAGCCCCAATATCACCTGCAGAGATTTAATTTACAGCCACATAATTATCAGCTCTAACCCTTAATAATTGCATAACTTTTTCTTTAGTCCCTGTTTATGAATATATTATTTATTATTTATTTTAAATAGATCCTGAATAAACTCTAAAATAAGTTAAAGCGCCTTTTTATTAATCATTAACAATTTTATATACATAAGCAGAAAGTTTTTCTTGATGTTTTACTTATCTTAATAAATCAGGTTATTTTGCACATTTTACAGGCCCAAGTTCTTCAGGTTAAGGTAAATATTTAATAATAGCATCCATCAAAGGTTGAATACCTTTATTTTTTAAAGAACTTCCAATTAATATGGCACAACAATCTTTTGGATATTTGAGAAGAATTCTTTTTATAGATTATTCAAGTTATTATTAACTTAAACTCTCAATATTATCTATTTCTTCATCATAAAGCATTATTGTTTCTAATAGTTTCTCTCTATATTCCATTGAAGATGTATATAATTTACCATCAGATTTTTCTAAATCAGAAAATTTAACAACATTTCCTAATAAATCAGCCCAAATAATTTTTTTCATTGATATTAAATCTACAACACCTTTAAATTAATCACTATCACCGATAGGATATTATAATACTAAAGGATCTACACAAAGTTTAGTTTGAATAGAATCTAAAGTACTTTCTAAATTCGCTCCGTTTCTATCCATTTTATTTATAAATGCTAATCTTGGAATGTTAAACTTGTTTGATTACGACCACACCATTTCACTTTAGGTCTTTTTATTTAAATTTATCTTTTTTTTATTTTATTTTTTTACTTAAACGCCAGAAACACCATCAAATATAGCAATCGCACCATCTAAAACTCTTAGGGATCTTTCTACCTTTTTATATTTTTTTATAAATATTTATATGTTTATTCTTATTTTACATATTATTTCATACTTCGCCTGTAAAATCGATATGGCCTGGAGTGTCTATAAGATTAAATTAATGTCCATTCCAGTTAAATGAAATAGCTGCTGATCTTATTGTTATACCTCTGTCTCTTTCTTATTGCATGTAATCCATAACTGTGTTTCCATCATGCACCTCTTTACATTAATTATTATTATTTTAATTAAGTAAATTTTTTTATACCTCCTGGCTCTAATAATGCACCTGAATAATATAGCATTCTTTCAGTTGTAGTTGTTTTTCCAGCATCTATATGTGCTATAATCCCGATATTTCTTATTTTTTTAATATCATCTGAAGTTTTAATAGGAAAATATATAGATTCCTTTTTTAAACGATCTTCACGGTCTTTTTTAATTTTATCTTTAACATTTAACGAGTAAAAATAATGATTTTAATTAAAAAAAATATTTTTAAATTGACAAATTTTTAAAAGTTTCATTATTCAAATATTTATTTAATTTTGGATACTTATAATTCTTTTAATTTATATTTTTTAAAAAAATATAATATATATATATATATATATATAGTTGATTATATCAAAAATAAAAAAAATAGATTTTATTCAATATTTAAATGATTTTAATATTATATATTTTAATTATGTAAAATTATTGTTTATTTATTCTATTAATTAATTTTATTTTTAAATTTTAAATAATTTAGATTTTAAAAATTAATTAATAAGCAATTAATTTAAATAAATGAATATTTTTAATCCACCATCTTAAGAAATATCAATTAATTGTCTGATTCCTCCTGATGAGAATAGATAAGGAGGTTTATTTATTGGGAATTATAAAGCAGCTCTTTCTTGCGAAACATTAATAAACTATAATATAAAAGGTGTTCTTACAACATCAATCGAAACTCCTGTTAGTTACTAGACCACATTAGTTCCTTTTCATATGCGTTTTTATTTTTTTAAATAATAAAGATCATGATCAAAATAATAAAAAAAAAGAATTAGATATTCATGATTCAGAAGATTTTGACATTTCATAATATTTTGAAAAATCAGCAGAATTTATAGAATTAGCTATGGAATTTGGAAATGTACTTGTACATTGTTATATGGGAATTTCAAGATCAGCAACAATATGTATAGCCTATTTAATGAAAAAATAAATGTGGAGTTTAGAAAAGGCACTTTGGATTTGTTAAGAAAAAAGATAAATTACAAATCCAAATAATGGTTTTATGAGAAAATTAATGGAATTAGAAAGGAAATTATTTAACTAAAATACTATTATAGAAAAACCAAAACAAAATTTTGATTAAAATTAATAATAAACTATAGAATTATCATAACAGCAACTTATAGATTATCCTAAATAATAAGTACTCCCATAATATTTATAACAATTAATCAAATAATCTGGAAACATAAAAATAGTTTAAAATAATAATAGATGATATATGTATGTATATATTGGTTATATATATATTATTTTTATATTAAAAATACATGAGAATATTTATTATATATTATAAAAATAAAAAATATATTTTTTGTATTTTCATATTTAATTAGTATTTTTTGGATAATTTTAATATTTTTCTTCCATATAATAAGTCATCATTTATGTTTTGAATAAATATTTAATAAATTTAGAAAACTTAGGATTTTTAGATATAACTAATTCTCCTATTTTTTCATAATTTAAAACCTAATCTTTACAAAAAATAGGTTTTTAAGGTAAAAAATCGAGAACTTCCTTTTAAAGAAAACATTAAATAGCAATTAATATTTAAAAGCATTCTTCTGAAGAATAAAAATCATTTTTTTTACAATTTTAAATTTTTTAAAAGTATTAATAAATATAATTTTTTAATTCATTGTAAAATTCGAAGAATGCTTCTTCTTTAACTATAGTTCCATTTAAACTTTAATATCTTAATCAGATCCAGTCTAAACAAATACACAATTAGGGAATTATTATTCAAGTTTTTTTTCCATTATATATTAATAATCTTTATTAATTCCTACTAAAACAGGTACAGGAGAATCTAAAATACTAAGAAGTTTTTCAGGTAAATTAAAAATCAAAGGATGAATCCACTTTAAAGGTTTAAGAATACTATTATGAAAATTATAAGAACATTACTTAATAAAGTTATATTTTCAGAAAAGAAAACAAGAGAATATTCCATTAATAATAAGCAAAAAATATATGAAAAAGAATTTGCATTAAATAATTTACAAACTTAATATATTGAACATTCTAATTCCATTTTATAACATTAATTTTATTACAAAGGTATTATTACTTGAACTTTTTCTGCACATATATTGACTTCAAATTATTCTCCAAACAAAGGAATTTCTTTTAATGCAATATCTTTTAATACAGCTTCAGAAATTCGGATAAAATTATAATTAAAATAATCAGAATCTACACTAGAAAGTGCATTTTCTTAATTTTACTATTATTTTTGAGTATAATATTAAATTCTTTTTAATTTAACACTATTTAATAAATTAGTGATTATATCAAAAAAAAACTTTACTAAAGGAAAATAAGTTAAAAAACAAAAAACTTTTTAACTTTAAACAAATCTTTATTTACTTTTCTTTCTTCCTGAACATATTTTACCAGCATCAACAAAATCATTAACTTTAAAACAAATGCAATATAATGTTTTTAAAGGGTTGATTTTATCAAGCAATTAAACTGAGCGTGCATAAAAATTAGGAAAAGATTATTTAATATTGCTTTCTAAAACAAATACGTTTCCTTATCGAAAAGCAAGAACAAATTATTCAATATTATTACTACATTATTCTGTCGTATTATTTGAAAATAATATAGTATTTATTTCTGAATATGATTTTGTCATCTTTATATCCTTTGTTTCTACACCAAAAGGAAATACAAATTCACTTATTATCTTATATTATGATTATTAATTTTAGGTATTTTTATAATGATACAATATTTCAGGAGATACTTTTTTCACATTTTATTTTTTAAATTCTGTATTTTTTGCTCCTATTATAAAAAATTCCTCATATAATGCTGAAGGAGTATAGTTTTGTGTGCAAGGTTATATATTTGGCATTTCTTTTGAAAAAAGAAGTGATTTTTTTGTAGAAAAATCCTATATTTTTAAATTTATATTTGAATATTTTGTTAATAATTAATGTGTTTCATTCACTTCAAGAGATTATTTTTAAATATTATCTTATATTGAATGTTCATTATTAATTGGTAAACAACTACTCATTACACTTTCTTACATTATCTTCTAATGCTCATTATTTTTTTCTCCTTAATTATCGATTATATTATTTTGACCTTCTTTTTCGTTAGGAATTTATATAGAATCTTTTTAAGTATTTATATTTATATTATTTTTATTATTATGGTTAGTATTTATCGCCTTTACATAAAAATTATAATTTCTTTATGAAAATAATGCGTTTTCTTCCTGATTATTTTCTAATATAGGTTTATTTATAATACTATTATTCAAAGAATTATTATTAGAAAAGTTAAAAGACATTATTTTTGTTGTTTTTGTTGCATTTATGCTCGAATTATTTTTACTTAAAATTTTATTTTCATCTTAAATACTATTCTTTTAATCTATATTAGCTTAAATATTTGAACTATTGCTCCTTTAAAGGCTTATTTTACTATAATCAATATCTATTTTTTTAGTGCATATGTTTATATTACTTTTTTTTTACGGAGTTCTTGATGCAGCTTAATATTTAGTAGATTGATTTTATTAATTTTTTCTAAAAAACGAATTATTGTTATTTAAAATATTATTATTTTATATACCCATGTGTTTATTTCTAAAAATAGAAAATCTATTATTATGTATTTATTATTAATTATGAGGGGAATGACTATAATTTTTGTTTAATATTTGTTCTATTTTTTTTTATATTCTTTGAATTTATTACTTTAACTTTAACACATATTATTTATTGATGCCGAGTTATTAAAAATAGAATTATTCTAACTGCAACACAAAGCATTTGGAGGAATATTTAAATTACTAGGTGTATTTGTTGTAAAATTATTTATTGTCAAATTTAAGCTTTGTTTGCTTTTCTTGTTTTCATTTTCATTAAATGTTTATTCTAATGTTTATATTCTTTTCTCTAAATAAATTATTGCCTACATATATTGCTCTTCTTTGCATCTATATTCATTTATTTTATATTCTTATTATAATATATAAGTGTTATTTTTGCTTAATTAATCATTTAATTATATTATTATATTCTAAAATTATTCGTTTTTTATACGATCATTTTATTTTGTATTTTTTAACAAATATATTAAGTCTTTTTATTATTAGTTATGTTTTTCAATCATTTCGAAAAGTTAACTAAACGTATGTATATCATTTTATTATTTAGCTTTTTTTAATCTTTATTAATAAACATTGCTTTAGAAAAAATTCTCTTATTCTTCTACTTCTTACATTAAATAATTTTCTTTACCTCTTAATGAAATTAATGGTGATATTATTTTTTATTAAGAATTATAAATATTATGCATATTATTTTAAATAAATCGCTTAAGAATTTGGTAAAATATTAATTTTAAAAAATGCTTTATTTTTATAATTAACATATTATACAAAACCAAACATAATACAATTTTAAATTTATATTTAAAAAAATAAAATAAAAAAATAAAATCAATAATAAAATTATAATTAATAATAATAAAAAAAATTGTATTAAAAAAAATAATATAAATTAAAAATACAATATTAAGATAAAAAAAAAATATAAAATTTAAAAAAAAAATTAAAAAATATCTCAAATTATATAATTATATAAATAAATAAAAAAAAAAAAAATTTAAAAAAGAAAAGAAAATAATAAAGTTAATAAAAGTATATATATTTATTTATTTATTTATTTATTTATTTATTTATTTATTTATTTATTTATTTATTTATTTTATTTTATTGATTTATATATTTATTTATTTTTATATTTAAATTTAAAAATCTTTTTTTAAAAAAAATTAAAAATTTTAATGTTTTTTTATAATTGATTATTTAAATATATATATCTATATTTTTTTATTTAAATTTTTTACAAATATAGATTAAAAAAATATAATTTAAATATTTTTATTTTTTAATATTTTTAAATTAATCTTTTTGTCATTTCATTATTAAAATTCATTTTAAATAGTTTTCATTTATTTTTTATTTATTATTCTTTTGATTATTTTATTGACTTATAAATTTTTTGTATATTTTATTTTATTAATTTATTAAATAATAATCAATTTATTATAAATTTTTATCTGGTATTATATAAATTTTATATTTATAATTAGAATCATATAATCTTGCAATATTATTAATATTAGAAATACTCTTAGTAGTAATTTGTTTTTCATAGAAAGTTGAGCTATATAATTTTTATTATTAAATTCTTTTATTTTCATTAATTTTAGTTTTTTAATTTTAATTTTAGCATACTGTTTTTTAAGCTAAATTGTTATTTTTATTAATTAAATTTTATGTTACATAATTGTTTAAAGTTTTATTTTACTTTATTCCTAGAATTTCCTAAAATAATTTATTAGATAAATGCTAATTTTAAATTTTTTGTTTTTCTATATATTTCTTAAGTTAATATTTTTCTTTAATTAAATTAATTATTATTTTATTAATTCTTAAATGCATTTTTTTCATTATTTAATGAATTATTATCTTCTAACTATTCATTTAACGCATTATAATATTATTCGTTATATAATTAAGCTTTTTTTCTTTATTAAATTTGCCAACCTATCATTTTTACAAAAAACCTTAGTTTAGCCATAATTTTTTTCTTCCTTTCTTATTTAAGAGTCCAATTTTCATATTATATATTAAAAATATTTGAATTTTTTTGTTTTTGAGAACAGGGAGTAGCCTAGAAACTACATTAATTATATTATTATTTTTAAACTTTATCTGGAGTTGCTAATATTGTTTTTTTAACAAAGTTTTATGCTCTTATAAGGTACTAAAGGTTATTTGAAGATTATCTAACTCTCAAATTATCCTAATTCATTTTTTACTTTTTAATAACTTGTTTATAATTTTAGTTGTCTTAAGATTGTACTCTGATTCTTGCTTAATTTTGAATATTTTTTATATTTGTATTAATATTAGTATAAGTATTAGTGTTAATATTAGTATTAGTATTAGTATTAAAATCTTCTTTTTTTTCTATATCTTACATTTTTTTTTATAAATCCAAATTTAAAGTTTATAAAATTTAATCTTTTTCTTCTACATCCAATACCTTCTTAGATTGAACTTTAACGTATTAAATTATATGCTACTTTACGATAGTTTTTTTTATTATTTAATCAAATTTTAAACACTTTTTAGTTTATTATCCTGTTAATTCGCAATACAAGGACTTTCTGTGGAATGTAATTTTTTGATTTTTATCTTCGTACAAACTATTTTTAGAATATTCTGCTAAGCTAAAGCATTCTATTAAATAATAATATATAGATTCAATAAATAAAATTTATAAGTAATTTTTTTTTTTTTAGAATTATACACATATTAAAATTAACCAATATATTTTATAAAATAGAAAAGCATTATAAAAATAATTTAATTTATCATAATTTTTTTTATTTATAAATGATAAATATTATTTGTACGAAAAAGTTGAATGAATTTTATATTAAAATATAAATATTAAATTTATTCTTATTAAAAAATTAATTAATTTTATTAACTTTTTTCATTTAATGCTATTTTTTATTTGTTATTTTTAATTATGATAATGTTTATAATTAATTTAACAATAAGTTATATTTTATAAAAATTTATATTACTCCTAAAATATTATTTTTATGCATTATCGTATAGGAAATATATATTTTAAATATTATCTGTGGATTTGCAATTATATTTTTTTAAAAATTACATTTATCTTTTTCTTAAATCAATAATATTTTTTGCTTTAATTAAACTTTAATTATTTTTATTAATACTATAATCTAGTTAATATTCATTTTGTTTTTGAATTACTTTCTCTTACTTTTATAATTTATTGAAACCATCACCTAAATATGCTTATAAATAATGTTTTATAATTTTAAACTATAATACTTTATTAATAAGTTTAACTTTCTTATTATATTTTTATTTTTTGTGTATTTTAGATTTTTAAAGATGATTGCTACATTATAAAACGTCTAGTGTTTAAATTTTATTATAATTATTACATTCTTATTTACAAATATAATAAAACTATGTAAATAAGTAAATTTATATTTTACTTTTAATTAATGTAATTATAAAAAAATAATCTAAGTTTTTAATTAAAATATTTTTATTAATAATTTAATTAGATATAAAAAAATTAGGTGATTTCTTTTAAATATTAAGATTTCTTAATAATTATTTTATTTTATTAAAAAACAAATAATTTTATATATTTTGATTAAAAAATTTAGATTTGTTTAAATTTGATTATTTGATTATTTTAATTAAAAATTTATCGATAAAAACTTTTTAATTATAATTCTAATAATTTTCAATTAATTAATAATAAATTCTATTTATATTCATTAGTTATAAAATTTTTATTTTTGTATTTCAAGTTATAAATTAATTATATAATAGAAGGTTTCCTTTTTAAGTTAAATAAAAATATATAAGAAAATTTAATATTATTTTTGAATTAGTATTTTTATATTGTAATTAATAAATAAATGCAAAATAGGTAAAATAGATTTGCAAAAAATTAAAACAATTAGTTTTTAGTTGATAAGTTTTTAATTTTGCTAAGATAGTAATAATTAAAAAATAATATTAAACAAGCACTTGCATATGAAAATATAATTTAAAGCTTGTAAAAATATCCATTACCTATAATTACACGTAAAAAAATTAAATAGATCATAAATAATTTTTTTAAAATAAGAAGAATAAATATCAAGTTTAGATGGTGTAGGACCAAAATTATCAATAATAATGAATTAATTAGTTAAATAAAATTATTAAAAATCTCTCAAAAATCCCTATTAAGATTTTGATGATGCAGTAATAGATGAATAGAATTAAAATAGTGAATAGCTCTGAAAAACAAAAACTATAAATTAAATTTAAGATAAAGTTAACCATATATTATTATTTTATGACAATGTATATATATAAATTACATAAATATTAAAATTAAATAAATAAAAATATTTAATATCAAAAAATATTAAAATCAAAATTTAATTAATAAGAACAGAGAAATCTTTAAACTATTTTTATTTTATTTTAAAATTATTAAATTATAAAAATAATATATATTCAAAATATAAAAATAAAAATGGAAACATTAATAGCAGATTCTAATATAGGTCTTCCTGAATCATTTAATTATACTTAAAAAAATAATAGCATTAGTTTTTAAGAGCCAATAACTGAAAAATTTGACTTCTAATATGCCCCATTAGATAACCCTTGCGAATTTGTACATAGTTTAAAAGAAGCAAAAGGTCCAGAAAAATCATTGATGAACTTTAAAAAGGGTACTACAACTTTAGGATTTAGATTTTAAGGCGGTGTATTATTAGCTGTAGATTCTCGTGCTTCTTAAGGAAGTTTTGATGCTTCAGAAACTGTTCGTAAAATAATAGAAATTAATGAATTTTTGCTCGGAACTATGGCTGGTGGTGCCGCAGATTGCTAATTTTGGGAATAATATTTGGCTATTTAATGTAGAAAATATTAGCTCTAGCACGGTGAAAGAGTTTCAGTTGCAGCAGCTTCTAGAATATTAATAAATATTCTTTATGGTTATAAAAATCAAGGGCTTTCTGTTGGATGTATGTTAGCAGGATGGGATAATTAAGGACCTTAACTATACTATTTAGATAACGATGGATCTAGAATTAAAGGAGATCTGTTTTCAGTTGGTTCAGGATCAACCTATGCTTATGGCGTGTTAGATTCTCATTATAAATGGGATCTTAGCTTAAAAGAAGCAGTTGAATTAGGAAAAAGAGCTATTTATCATGCTACTTTTAGAGATGCAGGATCCGGTGGTGTTGTTAGAGGTTTTTTTAAAACAAAATTATTATTTATATTTATTGAATTCATCTTTTTAAAAAGTTTATCATGTCCATTAAGGAGGTTGGGATATTATCCATGATGGACTTGATGTTAACACCTTACATTATGAATTTGCGACTGAAAAAAGTAACATCATTTTTTTATTATAGTTTTTATTTTTATTTTAAGATATGGATGGATCAGAAGACTAAGTAGGTTAAAAATTATTGTGATTTTATCAAAAAAAATGATAATAATAATTAGAGTTAATCAAACTATATATATAAAACATAAAAAAAAAAAAAAAACCTACGTTTTTTTATTTCTCTTTTTATTTTTAAATTTTTTTTTTTAAAAAAAATATATATATAAATAAAAATAAATATTATTATTATTCTATAAATAAACATGTTTACGATATATATATTTTAATAAAAATAAAAAAAAATAAAAAAGAAAAAGTTAATATTAAATATAAAGATTAATAATAATGTATGATTATATATTATATTATATTTTAAAAAAAAGAAAAAATAGATAAAAAAAAATATTAAAAATATAATAATATATAAATATAATAAAAATATATTAAATATATTAATATTGTATATAATAATAAAATATGAAAACATTTTTATATATTATTTATATTATAATTTATATTTATATTCATATATATAAATATATATAACATATAAATTAATATATATATTTAAACATTATTTCTTTAAATATATATTTTTTTATTTTTTATTTATTTATTACATTAAATTGTAAAATTTTTTTAAAGAAATAAATATAAAATAAATTAAATTTTTATTAATTTATAATATCTTCATTCATCATTATTATCTTTTATTTATTCATTATCTTTCTTTTTTTCTACTATTTACTATATTTATTTTATTTTTTATATTTTTAAAATATTAATAAATTTACTTCTATTTATGTAGGTCTGAATTCTACTTCATTTTATATTTTTTCTGGTTCACATGGGAAATATAATTAATATTATTATTTAATTCCTTATCCTACATAAAAAGTAAACCATTTTTTATTCTTAAATAATAAAATAAATAAATATATTATAATTAATAATATTTAATTATATAATATTTAAATCCAAATAAAATTTTATATTTACATGATAAATTGTAACTGAACCAGGCCAAACTAAATTTTTGATTGCTAAGTACCCATAATTTTAAGATTCATTTTCTCTTGATAATTAACGATAGTTAAATAAATCTCCATATGATCTTATAGCCCATGCGCTTTCATATCCTTATGGGGGTTTATCCAAGTTAAGAGGTTTTATTAAAGGCTCAAATGGATCTTTTTACATAATCTTTTTTGCTAATTCTTCTTAATCTTAGTTTTCTTCAGCTTCAGGGATTGTATGTTTTAATCTTCCTTCCTTTTTATTTACAATTTAGTTTTTATAATAAGAAAAATTACATTCAAAATGTTAGGTTTAGAATGAACCCAATTTTCAATTTAGGTTAAAGCATTAAAATTAGGAAATTTAAAAGTACCTTCTTCAGGATCTACTAATGTTCTTCTCGTTTCTAATATAATTATAAATAAGATAATAGATTATTTTTATTACCATCATTTTCATCTATTATTTTTAAACCTTTAGGTTAAACAGAAATACAATGGTTAATTCTAACAATAATACATTTTAAAAGTTCCTTTTCAGTTCCACTACTATATTAGAATTTATTTTAAGACTTTTTATTGCTTTCGAAATGAGGATTAACAATGACTTATTTATTTAAATCTCCTGTAAATAAATATTTAAATTTTCTAGAAAGTTAAATTTAATTTGAGGTAACATAAGGTAATTCAACCCATTTATCATTTACTTTTTTTAATTAATTTATATAATATATTTTTTTTTACAATCTGTTGTAACCCAATAATTGTATTAGTTTACACTTGGTTCTTCTCCTCCTAAAGGCTCTACTTCAGGTGGAATTTCACCTTAATCTTCAAAATCTGCTTGTCCTTCCGTTATATAATAATCTTTTTTTTATCCAAGTATTTTTCCCCAAAATCTTAAATTTTTTATATTTTTATCTTTCTTTTGATAACTCAATAACTATATTTTAATTTAGCCAATTTTTTTTTTTTTTTTACTGTTAAAGATTTGAAGATTCTTAACGATTCCTCTTCACCAAATCCTACACCTGCCCATTCTAACCTTTAATTATTATATTAAATTTATTTTTTTATCTATTTTATTAAAAAACCATTTAGATTGTTAAACAAAATTAGGAACAAAAGGTAAAGACCCTGCTGGTTCTTAAATCTAATTTTCTTCTCCGCCTCCTTCCATAATTCTCTGTATAAATATATAAATAAATTTAACAAATATATTTTAAATTACACTTAGTAGTTTTTTATCATTTTTGTAATTTTCGGTTAACTCTTTATATTATTCACGAAGCCTGTTTGAATTTTCTTAATTTTCAAAATTAAAATTTAATTCTCTTATTTATTAAGAATAATCTTCAAGTTTATCATATATATTTTCTTTAGGATTATCAAGCAAAACTTTTGTCATTAAATTAGAAAAATGTTCATATAAATTGGTTTTTCCATCTTTTTTTTTTATGTTTTTTAGTTTGTCTTCAAATTAATTGTAATTCATTTTTTTATAATAATTTAACAAAAATAAAACTTAAAAAAAGTTGAATAAATTATAAATTTCAAAATAATATAAAAATAAAAAAATATATTATTCCTCATTATATTTTAGTTATTAATTTACAATTAATTTATTATAATCTTATGATTTATTTATAATTTTGTTATATAAAACTTTTTAAATAAAATATTTTTTATCTTATAATAAAATATAATATTTTAAAATTTTAAAAGGGAAACACATTGTTTTTATATTTTATTAAAGTATAATTTTTTTAAAAAAAAATAAATAATTTATATTAATTTTACATTAAATGTAAATATGAAAATTTATGGAACTAAATTAAAAGAAGTCTATAGAAGATTATAATATTTAGTGTTTTTATATTTAATAAAATATTTTTTATTTAAATAATTTTTAATAAATTATTCATATTTCTAAAAGTGTAAATTATGTATTAATACATTAATACTTTTTAAATAATTTTTCAAAGTAGTAAATTAATAAAAAAAAAAAACTTATAAATGATTATAAGCAATAGAAAATAGTTTTTATTTGAAAAATATTTTTAAAGAAAACTTAAAATTTTAAAAATCTTATATTTATAAAATAAAAGAAAGCCTTTATTATTTAACTTTTATTTTAATATATTTTATGCTCTTTTTATTTTTACTAATAACTCATCATAAATTATATTTATATATTACACAAAAGTTATGTTTTTTTAAATATTAAATTATATTTAGATTTATTAAATTAATAAATTTATATTTTTTTATAGAATAAATTTAAAAATATATTAATTTGATTATAAAATTAAGATTATACTATAAAAAATTTAAAGTTAAAAATATTTAGTTTGCATTTTAATATTATTAGTTAATTTAATTTTTAATCTAAAGACGTTTACAAATTTATATTATTATTAATGATTTTTTTCAATATAAAATTTATTTAGATTTTGATATATGTAATGATATAATGTTAATATAGAAATTCATTTAAATATAAATATATATATCTTAAAAATATTTATAAAACTGATATTTTATTTTATTTAAATTATAATTATAATTATATCTTTAATTGATTAAAAATTTGTAGAAAGTGTCTTAACATTAATTTTTGCAGCCTTTTCTTTACTTGTTTTTATTATATTAAGTTAATATAATATAATTAATAATTTTTTTTTTTTTGTATTGCAATTTTTTTAAATTATCAGTAAGAATAAATAAATAAAAATCCTATATAAATATCATTTTACAAACATTTTCAATTTTTTTAAAAAGTAGGAATATGTGAAAATTCATAGAGTCAAATATTATTTTGAATCAAAAGAAAGAACTTAACTATTTATATTAGAAAAATGATATTCGCAATTTAATATTTAAGTATTTTATGCATAGAGATGAAGAAAAATATAAGATTAATAGGATTCTCAATAACTTTTATATTAAGCAGTGAAATTAAAAAAATATATAAAGATAAATAATTAAAAAAATAAAAGAATTAATGTGCATAATATTTTTTTTATATTAAATAATCAAATATTTTTTTTTACTTACTAAATATTAATTAAAAAAAAAATAGAATTCTATTAATTGCTACTTTAAAAAATATAAATATATTTTATTTATTTTAAAAATATATTTTATATAAACTATTAAAAATAAAAAATATAAATGAAGTAAGATATTATAATATAATTTTAAAAATAATATAATAAAAATATTATAAAAAAATTATATATTATTCATAAAAATATTATTTAATTTAAAATTTTTAATTATTTTATAAATAAATAATGTATATTTTTTTAAAAAAATGTAAATTATAATATAAAAACCTATAAATTAATTAATTAACTTTAATAATATAAAAAATTAATAAATATAGTTTAAATTTACTTTAATATATATAAAAAAAAAAATAATAAAAATTAATATATTTTAATATTTTTTTTTTATATTTATTTATTTATTTATTTATTTATTTATTTATTTATTTATTTATTTTTTATTTTTTATTTTATTTATTTTTTATTTTTTATTTTTTTTTNTTTTTTTTATTTTTTATTTTATTATTATAATAATAT